GCCAGGTGGAAGGGCAGGTGGCTCAGTGCAGCAAGAGGGTCTCCGCTGACCACCCTGGTTCTTTCAGGATGAAGAAGTTGCCACAAGGGGCCTCAGCAGAATATTTACATTATTTAATGTGAAAAGTTGGCATCAGCAGCTAAAGCTGCCTTATCCCAAGCTAGCACACACATGCTTAATTTCATGTGCATCTAGAACAAGACCTGACCTGCAGGGCTGCCCCTGGGGTGGTAGCATTCTCTACTTTCTGTAGTAAGTTCTGATCATCAGGGTCAAAGAAACGACAATACATGACCGCAAGTACCTGGTCATGTGTCCCGCACTGGGTGGGAACAAGTTCCCTGACCTCCATGGCGTGCGCCCTGGGTGCTGGCTGGGATGATGCTCCCTGACTGTGCTGAGATCCTGGGCTGGTGAGGAGCAGTGTGCCAGGGTGCGCCCCCACCCCTCCCCCACACAGAGCCTGGTGCCGCTGGTGTGTACCTAAGGAGAAGACACACAGCACAGATCTGGAAGGCTGCTCAGCCTCTTTCCCTGGGAAGGGTTCGTAGCCAGGCATGAGTTTGCCTTCCGCAGCAGGGGCACTAGAGTAGTGACAGGTGACCATTGAGTATGCACTAGGCAGGTGAGCTGGGCACCTCTATGCCTCCTCGCTCCCTGGGCAGTGAGCTCTCCCCTCATTCCAGTGCTGGTTGGCCTATAAATGAGCTCAGAACATTGAACCCGGCTCACCAACTCCAGTTGTGCCCATGTGTTTCAAACCAGGATCCCTTTGGGATTAGGTCATCAGAGTAGTCAGAAAACCCAGCTGTGCTTAAAACCAGTAAGATCTCCTAGGTAGGCCCAGCCCTGGCCTTGCTGAACCTCCCTGCAGCATGCCCGAGGCGTGATGGTGGGGGCATGTGCCCACCTGGTCATTCTGCTGGTGCTCGCCAGCTGTGAAGCCGTGGGCTCTGGCTCTTTTAGTTGAATCTTTGACCAGGCCCCTGAGGACAGACCTGGGCCTTCCTAGGGTGGCTGAAAGCACAAGCAGACATCTGGCCGTTGCTCCCAAGGACACTCCATGGACCTGATAGCTGTCCAGGTTCCTGTGCAGTTTCCTCATGCTACACTGGCATGGAAGTGCATGCCCCCAGTCGTCCTGAACATGAGTGACCGCAGAACTCTGTCCCCCGCAGTGCTCTCAGCAGTGTCTCTGTGAGCGAGTTTTCATCATCAGGACTGTCCCCTTGGCCACCCAGTAGGCGCTCTCCCTCTGCCTGCAGGCTTCCCCTTGTCCTCCGCCCTTCCTTGGAGGTAGGGCTAGGGATGAGCACATTCAGCTGTTCCCGGAGGTGGCTCTTGGGCAGGTGTCACAGCCCATTCTGTGACCCTCCTCTGAGAAGCTGATGCACACTCCCTGGACGTTCTGGGGGGGGGGGGGGCTCATTCACAGGCATGCCTCTCTGCGCCTGTCATCCACACTGAGACTTGGTGGTGACCCAACTGCTCATACAGGAAGTCAGTTACTTGCTGCTTCTCTCTAAAATGGGATCTTCTCACCACTGTGCTGAGTGACATGCAAGTCAGCAGACACTTGCACCCACTGTCCCCGACACTGCTGGATTCTGGGCCTCAGGACTCTCGCTGCTAGCGGTGCTCAGAAAGGAGTGCCTAGCCAAGGGGTATGTCATTATGTACAGAGCAATGGCCCTGCTCCTTCCTGGAGCCGCAAGGTGCCTTCCCACTGTTAGGGTCCAGGGAACCCTAGATGAAAAAGAGCGATTTTCCTTCTCTTCACACAGGCTCCAGAAACAAGTGGAAATCATTTAAAACAAGCCCAAGTGATCCATCCCAGATGAGAAGCACTGGTGTGCTGCCTGTGGTCTGGAGGAAATGCCTGCGGGGGAGCTGGGGTGTCTAGGACCCTGGGGAAGAGGCGCAGTCACTGGGGCGGGGTGGGGTCTTGGGCCCTGTGGAGCAGGCAGCCGGAGCCGTGTGCTTTCTCCTCTCTGGTGCCTTCTGCCTACACTTGAGACTCCCTGTGAGTGATAAAAATAGCCCAGGCACTCCCAGGGCTTGAGGCCTGTGTAGGGTTCCTGTTATTCAGGGAATTTCCTTCCCCAGGGAGGAGGTGTGGGTCCACTCCCTCTGCTTGGAAGACATTCATGACTTTAACTTGGGGATTTCTGTTCCATGTGCCTTCTAGCGAAGTCCTCAGTATTTTCATTGTCCCCAGCAGCAAGGAAGAACTGTCGTGGGAAGGTGTTCATTTTATAAATATATTGCCTTTTTATTTTCCCATGGCTTTTATTCATTTGGGTTAGTAACATAGGCTGGTGGTTAGTAACCTAGGCTTGTTTCCCACAGAAAATATGAAAGGAATGGGGCCTCAGGGGATGCTCCTTAGGAGCAGCAGGGTTGACTCCAGAAAGGACCTGGCCCAAATCTGTGCTGCTGGTCAGTTTTAAGTACCAGTCTATCAGCTGCACTGGCTGGCCAGGGGGAGCCTGGCTGGCGCTGTCTCTGCTCCACCATGAGGATGTGCTCCCTCCATCAATGCCTCGGACCCCTCCTCTGTGCTGGAGAGGCTCAGTCAGGAATGCCCATGAGCACCCTGTAAACCATACCTGCCAGCAAGGACTGTTCATTCTTTTCCACCAAGAGAGTGTTCTGGCCCTGAAATGGACTGCAGGGCAGAATTGGTGTCTCTGTGTCTGAATGTTTCCTGGGCACTAACGTAACTTTGCTTCTACTTTTGGGTCGGACGGATGGAGACCTGAGAACTAGAGCATTTGTCTGTTGGTATCCTCTTTGTTCAGCCCCCCTTGGTCCTCAAGGGACCAGGTTTGCAGAGCTGATGTGGACAGTGATTGATGTCCATTCCTTGACACAGAGTCTACGGTGGAAAGTATCACTGGCAAAAGAGAAAAGATCGGGCTAGGGGCTGTAGTTCAGAGCACTTCCCCAGCATGTGAGGCCCTGGTTTCTGTCCCCAGTACTGCCCCAAAAAAGGGAAAAGCTTCCTCCAATTGGGGTGACTTACACTCAGAAACAACAGGAAGCTGCTTGAGAACAGTTGTTCCTGGGCCCCCAACAGGGAAGGGGCACAGTCAGTGTGCTGCTGCGCGCGGTGAGTGTTCTGCCTCTGCACAAGTGTCTCCTCCCCTGAAGTCGGTACCTATGGAAACAGCTCAGTGACCTTAGTAACCCCTGAGCATATAAGTTTGTCCATAGAAAGCAAAACACAAACAGTTCAAGAACTGAGTTTTCCTAGGTCAGAAGTACAGTAAGAACAGATCACTCTTGCTCTTCTTAATAAATTACTTGTTTCAGGTGAATATCAGTAAATACTGAAATATACTGAATTCTTTTCAAATGGAAAGAGTTTGGTTTTTGAGACAGACATTTAATTGGAAGTAAGAGAAGTCCTTGTTGAACAAGTGCTTGTGTTTTCCTAGATCCACAGGTTGAGCTTTACCAATATGGAGTGCCTGAAATTTTGACATGACGTTTCTTTCCACTGCCCGTGTACCAGTGTTTCTGAGTGAATTACTGTTTTGAATAGCAATGAAAGAGGGGCTCCACCTTGACATTTGGACCCCTTTATCACAGTCGAGCCTTGCCCTTTGGCCTCATCTGCCTTGCCAGTGCTTGATGCTGCCTGTCTTTCCAGTGCCCCAGGTCTGACAAACCATTGGTGATTGATGTCCTTTAGGTCTGTGATCAGGTTGACACCAAGACACCTCCTCTGTGGAAATGCAGTTTTGGTCTGTTGCAGACGAGGGCATGGAGCTGTGCTTTCCAGGGCTGCAGAGAATGCCTGGAGTAGCTTGCACGGCTCTCAGGCACCAGGGAGTGGGTGCACACAGCAAGTGCTGCTCAGGCCCTGTGGCAGACGTGTGCATGAACTTCTGTGTTAGGAAAGCTGGCCTTGGACTTGGAATGGCATGCACATCTTCCTTTGGGACTTCGGTCATGACAGAGGATGTTTTCTGGGTGACTTTGGGGACTTTCCTGTACCTCCTAAAATAGTCATTCAGGGGTTGATCAAATGGTTCTAGGCTCCTGTTGTGTGCCTTCCAAGACCCTGGGGGCAACAGACAATAAACAAGATGACAGCATGGCCTAGAGTGGGAAAGGAGTAGCATTAGGTGGAGATGGGGGAGGGTGCGGTCCTGGCTAATGATGCCTGAGCAGGGCCTCAAAGGGAATACTGCATCAGGACCCCAGGCAGAGCCAAGGCGCAGTGTCTGAAGCAGGAAAGGCCGGCTCTCTTGGCTGGAGGTGGTTAGAGTGCAGAACTAAATCTGGGGCCAGACGGCAAGGACTGGCAAGTGCTTGAATGTGTGGCCTGGGTGTGGGAGCCATAGAAGCATTTGAACCAGAAGTGATCAGAAACTCTGGCTACAGCTGGGCAAATGGATGCAGGGGAGACCAAGACCACCACCACCTGCCGGGAGGCCTGTGTGTGGAGCCCTGCAGGACAACGTGCAGCCCCAGGCTGGGTAGGGTGAGGGCTGGGCAGTAGAGGAGGCTGCAGGTGAGCAGAGGCGCGCTGTGCAGTTCACTACACTGTGTGGGAGGCCCCTGGCTGCCCCTGGAAGCAGGGTGCTGGGGAGAGAAGGGTGACTACAGTCTGAGCTGCAGTGAGCCTCCAGGGAAGGGCCTAGTAGAGCAGATCCATTTTGAAGATCTGGGCAGAAAATTTGGAGAAGAATGGCATGGTACAGTGTTACTTGCCACCACGCCATTAGAAGAGGGAGGCACTGCAGACAGTCCCTTGAGCCTGGCAGTGGGGGTCCCTGGGATGAGGAGAGTCTGCACAGGGACAAGGGCCAGGCCATAGTACATCCAGCTGGGTGGTGAGGCTCAGATTTCCTCCAGGAATGCGAGAGCCCAAGAGGAGAAGTGGCTGAGAAGGCACAGGAAGTCCTGAGGGCTGTGAAGGCAGGGCATGCCCCCACCCTGGGGCAAGTCTGCTACCCTTGATGACAGGGATTCTTCCCACTGTTTTCCAGTGCTTGTGCCTCCTGGGCCCCCCGCACCACCCATCCAAGGATATGCCTTCAAGCCTCCACCTCGACCCGACTTTGGGACCTCGGGAAGAACAATCAAACTACAGGCCAACTTCTTTGAAATGGACATCCCCAAAATTGACATCTATCACTACGAATTGGATATCAAGCCAGAGAAGTGTCCAAGGAGAGTTAACAGGTATTCCACTCCATCCTTCACTTCTTTCACTGATTTATGGGGCGGGGTCTGTGCAGACAAACTCCTGTGTTTTAAACTAACCAACTCTCATTCTCAGCGTGGCCTTCTGACTTTTTTTTTCTTAAAGTTTCTGTTGTGTTTGTTTTTGAAAAATATTTTATTATCGAGACAGTTGCAGTGAAATACACTGTAAATGTAGAGCTCTGTGAGTCAGTCACAGGTTCTGATTTCTGTCACGATAGATTATTTTTCTCTTCATAGAGACTTGAGTGACACAGCAATGGGATAGTGTCCTCGGGTCCTAACTTCTTTTTTTTCCAGGATTAGTTTTGGAGATTCGCCAACTGTATCATTTTATGTACTGTAACTTATTCTTATTGCTAAGAAATACTTAAAAAAGAAAAACTTCATGTGTACTCAAAACACCATCCTTTTAGACACTTGGGCAGGCTAAGCTTTGGCCAGTATATAGAAAGTGGCTAACAACATTTGCTCAAGTCTTTTTTTTTTTTTGGGGGGGGGGGGTGTGCACATATGTTTTCATTTCTCTTAGATAAATACCGGGGAGAGGAATGGCCAGGTACAAAAAGCAGGTGTAGGTTTCGCTGTCTACGAACACCCCCACCCCCAGGATTGTCCCCAGTGATTGCAGCACTTTGCTTCCACCAGCAGTGTGAGAGGATCGGATTTGCTCCATGCCCTTGTGAGCTCCTAGTGGGGCCAGTCTTCTGGGGGAGTGTGGCAGCTTCTCCTGGTGGTTTTAATTTTCATTTCCCTGATACTGGTGGGCAGAGCACTTTTTCATGTGCTTACATTCATATGTTCATGTATTAAATATTGATCAGATATTGTTTCTAGTAAGGTGTCTGTTGAAGTCTTTTTTCTATTTTTATTGGATTATCTTTTTATTAATTTGTAGATTTTGGTAGATTCTAGATGCAAGTCTCTGAAGGGGAATGGGTTGGTGGTTCAGGTGTGGGTCTGTGTGTGGGCTGCTTCTCTTGTCCTGTAGGCCACACTCATCGTCTTGTTCCCTGAGGTTTCATGACAGGCTTGGCTCAGAGAGACCAAGACCTCCTGTTCTTCACAGTTGCTCTGCCGTGCCTGGTCCTTTGCTTTTCCAGATAGAATCTACTAAAAGCCCTTTGGAGTTTTTAAACTCTGATTGCTTTGACTCTAAAAAACACATGATGTGTTTTTTCTGTTGTGAATAGTATCTTAAAAACTCTTTTTCTAGGAGTGGAAGAGTGACTTCTAATGAGTCTGGAGTTTGTTTGTGGGGGTGGTGAAAATACTTTAAACCTAGATTGTGGTGATGGTCAAAAACTCAGGAGGATATGCTAAATCATTGAATTATGTGTGTTTCTCCCTGCCATCCTTCCTCCTTCCCTCCCTCCCTCTCTCCCTTTTACTGGGGATTGAATCCAGGGACACTGTACCACTGAGCCACATACCCAGCAATTTTGATTTTGACAGAAGGACTCCCGAAGTTGTTAAGCCTGGTCTTGAGCTTGTGATCCTCCTGCCTCAGCCTCCCAAGTTGCTGGGATTACCAGTGTGTGCCACAGCACCTGCCTAATTGTACACTTAATGGTGAATTTTATACTTATCTGAAAGTATCCCAATAGAAATGTTAAAAACATTTTCATTATTTTTTTGTTAATGAAGATGGTTTTCCTTCTTCCCAGTTTGTAATGTGTTTTATTTCTCTTGCCTTCGTGTGAGTGGGACACCTGTGGAGTGTCGAGCGTGGTGGTAGAAGTGTGGGCATCTGTCTATTCTGGTCTGAAAGATGTGGTCCTAACTGTCGGGTCTTCCTCCAGACCCTCAGAACCTTGTCAGGCTGAGGGTTTATCAGCCTAGTTTGCTGAAAATTGTTCTCAGTGGTGACTTGGATTCGCGTTTTCTGCGTCTATTGAGATCATCATGCCTTTCTTTCTTTATTATTTCTGTGTAGTGCTGGATTGAATTTGTTAGTGTTTTGGTGCGGATTTTTATGTCTCTGTATCTGGAGGGGCATTGGTGTGTGATCTTCTTGTCAGGTTTTGTTTGTTTTTTTTTTAAAGAGAGAGTGAGAGAGAGAGAATTTTAATATTTATTATTTTTTAGTTTTCGGCGGACACAACATCTTTGTTTCTACGTGGTGCTGAGGATCGAACCCGGGCCACACGCATGCCAGGCGAGCACGCTACCGCTTGAGCCACATCCCCAGCCCCTTCTTGTCAGGTTTTGTTCTGTGTTTTCCGGTGCTATCAGGCATGGAAGGCAAGCACTCTTCCACTGTCCCCAGCCCTCTTGTCATGTGCTGATATGAGGGTTATGAGGCATAACTGAGAGCACTGTAAGGCATTCCCGTTATACTGACAGAGTTTTCTTTGTAGGGAATGTTTTTTTTGCCATTAAATTGCTTTTTTGGATACCTCCTCCTAGAATTGTGGACATTTGGCTTTTTTGTGTTTTTCTTTTGGGTCAGTTTGGGTTTGCCTTCAGGACTCTTTCAATTGCATTGTGTTGTTGAGTCATTGGCAGAGAGCTGCTGGGGTCTTCTCTCAACGTCCTGGGCCTGAAGTGAAAGCCCATTTCAGTCCTGATAGTCGAGCTCCTGCTTCATCAGTCGGAGCCTCGTTGAGGGTTGACAAGCCGTTCGTCTCTTCCCAGGATCAACTTTTTACTTTGTTGATTTTTTTTCTCTTGTTTTTCTGCTCTGATCTCTATTATTTCGTTCCTTCTACTCACTCTAGGTTCAGATCTTCAATTTTAAATATTTAAGGCAATGAGTTTCCTCTGAACTTGGTTTTAGCTGTAATCAGTAAATTTTGATATACCACATTTTAGTTTTCATTAAATAGTTTTGCATTTTCCTTGTGATTTCTTGAACCTGTGGGTTTGTAGAAGTGTGCTGTTACATTTCTATTTGGAGGATTTTTAAATTTTTTTTTTAGTTGGACACGATATCTTCGTTTTATTTATTTATTTTTTTTCATGTAGTGCTGAGGATTGAACCCAGGGCCTCACACATGGGAGGCACGTGCTCAACCACTGAGCTTCAGCCCCAGCCCTATCTGGGGGATTTGTAAATATATTGTTGACGTTGATTTATGATTTACTTCCTCTGTGGTCAGAGCACTTGAGTCTTTTGGAACTCTGGGGCTGGTGTTGGGGTTAAGCATGGGTTAATCTTCATAGATGCCCCACAGGTGTGTGTTCTGGAGTTACTGAGCCTGCCGTTCTCCGAGGGTGAGTTGGTTGTTGTTGTTGTTGTTGGTTTTACAACATGGATTTAACTCTGGCCTAGCATTTTCTGTTTGTACTTTCTGTAGTTTAAAATGCTGTGAGTGATGCACACCTGTCCTTGCTGTGTCTTAATGTTAAAGTGGCCCTTTTATCATTGGGAAGTATCCCTCCTTGACCCTTCTTACTAAGGAATGATTCCTTTGCCTATCACCTCAGCCGCGTGAGCAGCCTTCTCCTTGTTTCATGGTCCAGTCCCACCCTGTGTGTCTCTTTGCATTTCTAGCAGATTCCTTATAGACATTACTTTTTCCAGTCCAAAAAAAAAAAAAAAAAGTCTGTGTGATTGCTGAGCATTGAACCACCATCAGACTGTCTCTGTCTCTTCCTTGGAGTGTTGTGTGTGTCAGTTTTATCTCATCATCAGTGGCTGGACTTGATTCCACCATCTTGCCACTTGTTTTCTATTTTGGTATCTTTTTGGGGAATGGGGATGGACGCAGGGCCTTGCACATGCTCAGCGGGTGCTCTGTCGAGGAGTCACACCCCACCCCGTGTTAGGCGATTTGATGCTGACTCCAAGCTAGGGAGGCTGGGGCTTAAAAAAAAACAAAACCAAAATCCCCTTTCCCGTTTTCATTTGGGATAATTTTTTATTGAATTTTCTTAGATCACTTTGCTCTCCTTCTGCAATATTTGATATATTATTGTAGACGTCCAGTGAACTTTTCACTAGGAATTCTACTTTTTAGGTCTAAAATTTGCATTTGACTCTTTCTCATAGTTACATTCTCTAATGATATTTTCCCATCCCTTCACTCATTATTTCTATCTTGGTGCATGTTTATCCCAATAGCTTGTTTGTGGTAGCGTCCTTTGTCTGAGAATTAAAAGATGTGTCATCAAGGTCTGTTTCTGTTTACAGGCTTTACCTTAGATTACATGTCACCTTTACTGGCTTAAGTACATGTAAATTTTTTTAAAAAATTATCATTCAATATTCATTTTTTGCAGTGCTGGGAATGGAACCCTGGGCCTCACACATGCCAGGCAAGCGCTCTACCACTGAAATCCACCTGGCCCTGCACTGCATTTGTTAGACATGACACCGAGTCTTTTGAGGAGTCCATTGCTGTCTGTTCTGATGCCCTGTGGTTCCTCTCTTGCATGGCTCTGGATGCCACTTTGTGTCACCTTGGCCAAGCAGAACTCTGTGCTCCTAACCTAGGTGGTAGAGGGACAGCTCCAGAGCAGGGTGTGAGGACAAATGTGTGGCCTTCCCCCAGTGCCTACCTCCCTGCACACCTACAGCCCTAGCTACCCAGTTCTCAGTGCCTCTTGTCTTTCTCTTCCACTACAGCTGCTTAGTGCAATAAGTCTAAGCCATTATGTCGTGGGAGGCAGAGATCTCATTTCGGATTGGCTGTGCAGCGTGCTGGTGCATTGTGGGTAAAGCAGTCTTTGCTGCAATGCTTGGTCCTGTTCGAAGCTTGCATATGATTATGGGTGACTGAGAGCTCCATTCCTTTACCTGTGAAACTAGCTGATGGATTCTTTCAGTGTGCCCAGAACATGTTGAAAGTGCAAGGTCCTTTAAATGCACCCTTACTAAAAAGTATTTCTAGCTTGGGTACAGCACCTCACACCTGGAACCCCAGCACTGGGAGGCTGCAGCAGGAAGATTGCAAGTTTTAGGCTAGCCTCAACAATTTAGTGAGACCCCATCTCAAAATCAAAAAGGGCGAAGGGTACAACTCAGTGGTAGACACCCTGGGTTCAGTCCCCAGTGTGAGGGGCAGAGGTGGGGGCAGATGTGTTTCTGAGCAGAAAGTACAGGCACAACTGGCTAAATGGCTCTGGGGAAGGGGGCGCAGTATGGAGATTGAACCCAGGGGCACTTGACCATTGAGCTATACCCGTAGGTCTTGTCTATTTTGAGTTAGGTTCTTGCTAAGTTGCTGACGTTGGCCTCGAACTTGTGATCCTCCTGAGTCAGCCTCCCAAGCTGCTGGAATTACAGGTGCCTACCACCACACCCAGCTAAACCACTCTCTTTACTGAGGGTATTTCTAGATCTTTTATCCTGTCTCCTCCTTTTGACTTCTTGGTTTGCTTTTCAGTTTTCTGGGACAGGGACTTCTGAGACCTAGGATGTTGTCTCAGATCTAGAATGAGAGTAGCAAAGGCTGCTTGTTTCCTGGATTTGGTGCCATAGCCGTTAGGGTTTTGTGTCTTCAGTGCAGTGCAACGTGGCCTCCTTTCTAAAGGCAGGTGTCATGAAGGCTCCGTAGCTGGCAGGAGCAGAAGGGGTTGGTGATCACTGTAGGAATTCTCCTGGGCTGTTCTGCCACTCCTGTGTGTCCATGTGCCCCGAGGTTCGGAAGTACCCTGCCCTTAGAGAGTGCCTGGGCGGCGTGTGGCCCAGGCAGCCCAGTAGGTCTTATTGCTTCATTAAAGGTAGAAGCTGTAGGATCTACATCCACTTCACTGCTGACTCTGGGGGACTACCACCCAGGCTCAGAGGCATGACTGCCCCGGGTGTACAGAAACCCAGCCACACCACGTTTGTGCCAGCACTTGGCTCTCCCTCCCTCTTGTAGCTAACCATCATCTGTGCTGCTCAGGTGGCAGGTACTATACCCCAGGACACGGCTTCTGTCCCCAGAGGGCATGAGTCTGCCTGGGGCCCAACTGTGCTCATGCCCTCCTGGCAGAGGTGGGAAGCAGAGAAGTACGCTAGCTTGACTCTGCCTTGTGCCCTGGGTGCAGCTGCCTAGTGGCCCCACCTTATCTCTGTGCCCGTCTCTCTCCTGCCACCCGGTAGTATGTGTAAAAACCATGAAGATGATTCCACCACCACATACGTGGTGTAGGATAAATGTGAAGTCCAAAGTCGCAGGTCTCGGCAGCGCCATGAGAAGACACTGCCCTCCCCTCTGTGAGGATGCTATGGGGCATGCCTGTGACCACTCCTCTTGTTCACCTCTGTATCTAGCAGTGCCACACCCTTGTGACTGAGTGATACTGCAGTAGGGAACCTTGTGAGGCCAGTCCCTTGTCTCAGGGTGCATCACTCAGGCATGTGGCCTTGCTGAGCCCACAGGGAGGCTGCAGGTTGGAGAAGGCAGCACTCAAGGTGTCTTAAAACCTTAGAGTCGGGCTGGCCTTGGCCACATGTGCAGCCCAGACCCACCTCTGCTGCTACTGTGAGCCCAGCTATCGAAGTGCAAATCACTTCAGAACCTTCCGGGGGCAGGACATGCAGGAGTGGGGCAGAAATCTAGAAAGACCTCCTGTGGTCATCACTGCCAATCTTATACTGTAGCCTGTCCCTTCCACCCTGCTGATTTCCAGCTCTGGTTCAGGCCAGGGAAAGAAGCTGGCCGCATAGCAGTGGTGTCTGAAGCCCCTCCCGTTGTGCTCCGGGACTGCCCACCGACCACCTGTGAGTGTGGATCGATGTCGACTTTAGAAGGCAGGGGATGTGCACAGTAAATAAGAATGCTGTGTGTCCCAGGGCCTGCAACACACACACACACACGATGTTGACTCTTAATATTTCAATGGCCAAAAAAAGAGAGAACACACCACTGGTTAAATGTCAGTCTGTAAGGAGGTAAAATGAATGGCAGTGTCCAGTGAATGTGAGGTGGGATTCTGGGCCACCATCAACCCAGTGAGGTGGAGCCTCTGGGTACGAAGACCTGGGGACTGCAGTAGTGTCATGGCACAGTGCAGGAAGCCAGTATTTCAAGACCACATGGCCTCATCAACTATGGTGAGAAGGACAGGTCTCTGAGATATACATTAGGAAAACAGCAAGCTTCAAACCATGTGTTGGATACCATGTATATAAAAAATAATAGTGCATTTATTTTATTTTTATGTGTCTGTGCGTTTGTGAAACAGGGTATTTGTGAGGGGTTTGGTTAGGAGGTGTCTTGGCTTTGGCACTGAGAATGCCTGGACTCCAAGCCTGTGTAATTGGGGACCCGGGAGAAGGACTATTTTGAGGCGGAGTCTTCTGACCCCTGTGGGGTCAGGAGCAGGGACCCGGGCGAGCCCTTGCCCAGGCCACGTCATTGTGTTCCCTGCCGTGTTCCTCCTGTCCCTGGGTGTGAAGTGCAGGTGACAGTGTCTGCCGCCTAGCTTCTTGTGGGCTGAGCCAGTGGTTCTGCTCCAGGTCTTGGAGAGAGTGATGCCCGCAGGCTGGATCCCTGTCCTCGCTGTTGTGCCCAGGACTTCCCTGACAGGTACCGGGGTGCACAGGGCCCCCAGAGAAGGTGGACAGGGGACCTCTTGGTTATGGCTTTCTGAGTGAGGCCCGGCCCATCCTGCGACTGTGTTTGGGGAAGGGTTTCTCTGGGGAGCCGTGTGGTGCAGTGCAGCCCCTGGCCTTCTGTGGTCCACCTTGATGTCGAGGAAGATCTGGATCCGGGGACTCTGGGAATAGCGTCCTAACTGTTCCTCCCAGGTTTCCTGGGGACAGGGCAGGGAGGTAATGCTTCATGGGTATGGAGCTTTGGTCCAGAAAGATGAGAAAGTCTGTGGACAAATGGTCTGGCACTTTGTATCTCCCCGCGCCCGCCCCCCCCCCCGCCCCCCCCCCGCCCCGCTGCACATGGGGGGGGAGGTGGCAGAAGTGGTGAATTGATGTCACCTTTTATTTTACTATAATGTAATTTTATTCATTTAAGTTTTATATTTTAGTTTTCTTTTGATGGTTTGCAAGGGCCTCACACAGGCCAGGCAAGTGCAGAGTTAGACCCCAGCCCTTGCCATAATTTTATAAAGAAAGAAGAGCTGGGATTCCTGGCAGGTTTGCAGGGCCTCTTCAGCTGGCCAATTTCTGTTGGACTTTACCTGGGACAGTAGTGGCTTTTCTGTACAGAAACGGAGTGCTGAGGCCTGGGGGTAGGGTAGCTCGTCACGGCTGAGCAGCCTCCTGGCTCACCTAGGACATGCCTGCCCAGTGCTGGGCTCCGACTCCTGCCCCAGACCACCCCATGGGATGAGTTCAGCTCAGGAGAGAGAGTGTTCGTGAGTGTGGGCTCAAGTCCTTTCTTGAATACTGGGTGCCAGTTGCCCTGGTACAGTTTATTGAGAAGTGCCCTATTCTCTGTTTTGCTGCTTCTAGATAAGCACGTTGGCCCTTAGCATGGCATGTTTCTTTGGTATGGTTTGGTCCTGAACTGCCTCATCTGCATGGAGAGGTGAGGGCCAAGGCTTGGTGTCAGTACTTCCTTAGACAGCATGTGTAAGCAGCAGGTAGCTAATGAGGTGAAACATGCCCCAGAAGCCCCCGAGATGCCAGGAATATGTGCCAAGCAAAGGCCTCCAGAAGCGGAAGCCGGAAGGTGAGGGGCTGCTGTTCTAAGCCTCCAAACCACGGGCAGCCAAGTCCTGGCCATTTGCGTGTTCTGCACATGTGTGCTGGGTGCAGAGGGCACGCAGAGAGCCCTCCGGCCCGCTGCACACCGAGCAGCAGAACAACACGGTTGTGTTCATCAGGTTTGTGCTGAGGTGACGCCAGAGGAGCACAGAGTGCTGAGACCTCATTTGCTGGCTACGCAGGTGGGCTGGGTCTTGGCAGAGCTAGCTGGGCCATGACGCTCTGGGCTTTGAGTCAACTTCAAGGTCTTCATTCTTGGTAATGACATGGGACACATTGGTCTGATGATCCCAAGAGTACCAAAGGCCAAGCCAGTCACATGAGACCCACGACTGAACCCCACAGGGGTATCCCTTGTACGCTGCGGAGGCCCTGCACAGTCATGGCAGGGACACCGTGTCTGATCTACAACTTTGGGATGAGAACCCCATCAATGCCACTCTTTAGGGTGCCCGAGAGTTCTGGAGGTTCCAGAGGTACCTGTTGTCTGCTGTGGGTACGTGTACTTGCACGACCAGATTGAACAGGCATTAGCCCACTGCAGGTTCTAGGTGGTGGTTACAGAAAAGAGTAAAAACTCACGTTCCTAAAACGAATCTCGGATCTTAGGAGGCTTGTTAAAAAAGTCAGTGTTGGAAGGGTGCTGTCCGGCTGTGCTCATTCCTTGATGTTTATTGTCATTGACTTGAATTCTTTGTTTCAGGGAAATAGTGGAACATATGGTCCAGCACTTTAAAACACAGATCTTTGGGGATCGGAAGCCAGTGTTTGATGGAAGGAAGAATCTTTACACAGCTATGCCCCTTCCAATTGGGAGGGATAAGGTAAGACCATTAATTGGGTAAAGTGCATTGGAATGCAGTGCAGATGGTTTGAAGTTAATTCTTCTTATCACATACTGCATCATTTAACCAGGAGAAAAGGCGGCTAATTGCCTATGTGCTTCATCCTGAGCCCCATGAAAACCACCTTCCATGTGGTACAGTTCACAGTGATCATGGGTTAGATTCAGAGCACACCACTCCACACAGTACATGTGCACCCCAGATGCAGGCCCCAGACAGCACCAGGCGAGGCCTGTGGATCAGGGTGTCTATGGCTGGGGTGTAGCGTGGCATGAGTGTGCCAGGCCTTCGTGGGCCTTGGGCTTATCCCCATCATCTTCACGAAAGAAGTGTGCTCACACGGGGTAGTGTATGTTACTGGCAGTAAAACGAAGTGCACGTTCTGCTGTAGCCAGTGATCGAGGGGACTCAGAAGAGGGTATCTGTCAAGTCACACAGGTAGTGACATTAAAATGCCTCCTTTTCTCATGATCTTTATCCTTACTGTGGCTTTGTTTAAAAAGTAATAAAATCTCTCTCTGGAAGCTGTCATTTCTTGGCATCAGCTTTTAACAAATGTGCTGCTGCTCTAGGATGATAGTGGGTGTTTGTAAGTTCAGAAGGAGCAGAGACCAGCTAAGGAATAACCCTTACACAGACTTTAACAAACGCTAGAAAAATGAGCCACTTACCAGCTGTGGGAATGTGCCAGCTGATCCCTTCTGGGAAGGACATACAGGACCAGCCCCTTCAGCCCCGGGTCCCTGAGGAAGAAAAGACTTGCCATCTCAAACTGCGCTTCCTCTACAGAGGTGGAGGTGTTTTGTGCTTTTGCATCTTAATAATGATCTTAAAGCAGGTGAGCTCCGTAGCTGCTCCAACTTGTCTGCCTCTGCTGCAGGCCCTCTGCGCACAGCGCTGTGTGCTGACAGGCGGGCTGTGCGTTAGGAGGCTGGAGGCCAGGTGCCATCCACGCCTGACTCTGTTCAGTGTGCTCTGGTCTCATGGTGATTCCCGGAGTCACCAGTGGTGTGTGGGTTGTTGTTGCCAACTCAGGGTGGTGGAAGGCCTGTCCCAGGTTGGAGGGCATCCAGGACTGGATGCAAACGGGCTGAGTGTGATCTCCTTTGCAGATCAACGTGCTGTGATGTGAGTTATTGATCTTAAAGAGTTTTATGTTTAATTCACATTTATTTTGGTTTAAATTTATATAAGAAAGAAAAGCATAAGGAGATGATGCACAGTCTTGTTTGTACGTATTTAAAATTGGACACCAGGAGGACATGAGGAGAGCTTTCCTTAAGAAGGTGTGGGGGAGTCTCTGTTGCTCAAATTCGAAACGAGTCATTGTGAAAGTCAATCCCAAAGTAGATTTGCCCCTCTTGGTGCTGGGACCCTGGCACAGCCTCCACTGGCAAGACTCAGTGTCCCCTCAACAGCACTAGAGGTCAAATCGTGCTGGAAGGCACACCCAGGAAGGATGGGTCTGCCTGAGACTCTAGTGGCTCTGGGGCTCCGCGTTTCCAGGTGGTCCCCAGTGCTGCACTCTGCACAGCGGGTATGGGAAGCACTTCATTCCTGCCGGGACGTGTAGCACTTGACAGGTACTTGGTTGCTGTTACTGCTCTGTCATCCTGGCCCAGGTCCAGAGCATCATTTGGGGTGTCCAGTGCCTGCAGTGCCCTTCATGCACCCAGCTGACACCTCTGGGGCTCATGACCTCCCAGAGACCTGGGTGCAGCCTGCTCCAGTGGGCATGGTCTCCCCTTCTTGCCACACCCCTCCCATTTGTTGGCACGGTTCTGCCACACACCTGTGGGACAGTGAGGTGAAGCCTTTTTGTCAGAGCTAAGAGCGTCCCCTTTCCTGTACACGTGCTGCTGTGTGGCATGGAGCAGAGTCATCTTTGGGGCTTTTCTTTGTTTTTCATCACCTGTAGTAAGGGAAGAATCTCCAGCCGTCCCTCTAACCCCTGTCTGCCCAGAGGCTCAGTGGGGACTTTGGTAGCGCTTGCCTGGGCTCTGCGTGATGTCCAAGCACAACACCTGTTCGAGGTGGCTTCCCTCCAGACCTTTCCTTAATCCCTCCCACTTGTGTATTTACCTGCTTGCTTTTCCTCTCTGTGGAAAGAAGCCAAGAGACTCCTCACCATCCAGGCCTGCACCCTCACTTTCAAAGTAAGAGACAGACTCGGGAAAGTTGTAAGCATCACGCAGGGGTCCCGTGTACCTTGCAGATGCACTGGCTGAGACTCGTTTTCATCCCACGTATCTGAAGGGACGGTGATCTGCTTTTCAAGATGATTGGTTGCTGTGCAATCATAGAAGCCCTTTAGACAGTAGCTCCTTGGTCACATTTCGGTAGGATATTACCTGCAGCTGCACCTCTTTCCCAGCCTGGCTGGTGCAGTGGGTGTGACACCCTCCTTGGGTCCAGGAGGGTCCTGGCCATGCCAGCCCACCTGCTACAGCTGCCTCTCCTCCTCTCCAAGGCACCTCCAGGCCTCAGTGGCCTGACAGTTGAGCTCTGTGCCAGAATGCCTGGGAACACAGCTGCTACACAGAGCTCGCTGTCCCCAGGCTCACACATGTGTTGTTTTGTGTTCTTCAAAGTGTCATTTTCCTTCCATTGCTTCTTAGTTGTGTAGTGGCACCAAAGCAGCTCTGATGACCTCTGAGCAGGGTCCGTGGTTCAGTGTTAGGTCTGCTGGGGAGGTTGCTTACCTGGGCCGCAGGTTGGTGCTGCGTGCTGACGTTTTGGTTGTCCATGTTCAGAAGTGGCAGTTATGGTGTCCCTGCAGCCCTGTGCTTACTCCTCACATGCAGAAGGGCCTAATGGAGCCACCTGCCATGATCAGGCCTAGGGCCACAGGACCGTGCTTCAGTTGGAGCTCTTGGAATGCTGTGTTAATGAGGCCCAGATAGTGCTGTGCCATGGGCACAGCCAGTAGCCCAGACACAAATGCGGCCTGCTCTCCAGAAGCTGCCAGGCCACTCTGCCTGGGAGGGGATGAACTGGCCAGCCTCTACCCTAAATGACTGCACGCCTGTCCAGAGGGTGTTGCCAAGCCCAGGGTGGGCATTGCAGCTCTTTTTGTGTGGCCAAGAGGAGACTGGGCTGGAACATATTAAGAATGTAAGTATAGCTAGTTGCAGTGGCTCACGCCAGTAATACCAGTGACACAAGACTGAGGCAAGAGGATTGCAAATTCGAGGTCATCCTCAGCAGCTTAACAAGACTCTTTTTCAAATAAAAATAAAAAGGGCTGGGGGTGTAGCTCAGTGGTAGAGCACCTAGGGCTGCTCTATACCCTATACTTTGAAAGTATAGGGTCCTCAGTTTTGATTCTAGAGGCATTTTTAAGAATGACATTAATAAGCATCTGATAGATACCAGTTCTTTGAGTAGTCTTCACATCCGTGGAGATGTGTCTGGTAGAGGTGAGCAGGTGCAAAGTCCCCACTGTGGCGGTGGGCGTGCCACTGAGGGACCTGCATGCTGGTTTCCATTCCCACGTGCATTCTGCTCCAGTCACCTCTGTGGTGGAGCCTCATGCAGGTCTCTGCCAGTCCTGCATGGCAGCCTGGTCCCATCACAGCTCCACAAGGTAGGGACAACCCTTCTGCTTCCTGCCCCTGTGGTCCCAGAAGCTCATTCAGCCGCTCTGGATCTCAAGGCCGTGGCTGTAACGGGAGAAGATGCCTACTACATTATCAGTGCTGCATCAGGTGACTGACTGCAGCTTTTACCAAAAGTAGAAATAAACCCATGTACCCACCATCCACACTTAGCCCACAGTGCCCTCTCACGTACCCTCCCTGTCCCGGTGACTCGGGCTGGTCCACCCTGACTTCTAGTGCATGTGCCCCTCTCATTGTTTTGCTTAGTCTGGTTTTGAAGTCTGCAGGGAATCAGGTGCAGTGCCCTTGGTGGTTCTTCCTCTCCCCAGTGTTAGAGTTTGAAGACCACCAGCCTTCAAACTTTCCACAGTCCCCCCACCCCCAGCAGATGGACTTCGGGCACTTTCCAGTTTGGAGTCTCAGGTGCAGCGGAGCTCCAGGTGTGGCCAGGTGTGAGGGCACAGCTGGAGGCCGAGGCCCGAATATAAAGTATGTGCAGAGCAGCAGTGGGTTTTGCCTTTGGGAGGCTCAAGCAAGGAGTGGCAGGTGGGACAGGAGGGAAGGCTGTGTAGAGGAGGCTGATGAGCAGCTGGGAGCAGAGTGTGTTTGGCCTGTGAGTGAGCAAACCCCCAGGACAATCGGATCACACTCAACCAGGACTCCAAGGCTGAACAGGATATGCAGGGTACCTGAGTTGGGAAGGGTGCTATAAGCACATGGGACAGAGGCAGCAGGTACAGGCATGAGGTAGGCCTGGGGCTGTGTCCATGCATCTGAGTCACATGCCTGAGGGTGCCTGAGGTCCTCATAGCCCAGGCATCACGTGCTGAGTGGAAAGGCCTCAGTGCAAACCAGCCTGGTTCCAATTCCATCCCTGCCCGTGCATGTTGCTGTGGCCCTGGGCTGTTGTAAAGTCTGAGTGTGTTTAAAAAAAGGTGAGCCCTGTCTCCCTTGCTGGGATTTGTGGGCATTTGAGGATGAAATGTAGGCAGTCCATAAATGTCAGGTGATTGGTACTCCAGAGGTGTTGGGAAGTGTCATCAGCAGAGTGAAGCTACTGTACTCAGCCTCTACCCTAAGTGACTCCCTGGGGGCTTTGTGTGTACCACGGTCAGGACATGCTGATGGCCTGGTGGCACTCAAGCCGCAGGTTTTAAGTGGTGGGGCCAAGCGAGCAGGTGATGTCAGGCCTGTCCTCTTGTGTAGCAAGGCAGGTGCGTGAAGGGTGATCTAGAGGCCCTCCCTGAGGGAAGAGTGGCTTTTTTGCTAAGCACCAACCCAAGTGCGAGTCTTGGACTGTTGTTCTTCATGTGGGCCACTTGCCACAAACAGCTGTATAGACAGGCTTTCACTAAAAGGCAACTCAGCTAGAAATTCAGTTTCTTGATCACATTTGACATGCTCAGTAGCCATGTGTGGCCAGAGGATGGGTAAATAGCTTCAGGGAGTGTCTTGGCCTGGTAGTCTGTGTCTGCCCACTGCCAGCTATCCTGAGTGGCTTTTTAGGAGGGAATGACTGTGCTTCTGACCTTTTGCAGGTGGAGCTGGAGGTCACACTGCCAGGAGAAGGCAAAGATCGAATCTTCAAGGTATCCATCAAGTGGGTGTCCTGTGTGAGCCTGCAGGCCTTACATGACGCACTTTCAGGGCGTCTGCCCAGTGTCCCTTTTGAGACGATCCAGGCCCTGGATGTGGTCATGAGGCATCTGCCATCCATGAGGTAAGGGTGCCAGGGGAACCAAGGGCTGAAGGCATCTGTTTCTCATCCCAGGTGTGCTGGGAAGTGTACGGGGTTCTCGGAGAGTTGGCGGGTGTTCTGTGTGAAGGCAGTAGACAGCGCTGGCGTGGAAAGCATCCCATGTTACAGTGATCACCAGCATTCTCAGCCAAGCACAACAAGGTCACCTCAAGGTCACCTCCCTATCTCTGTGCCCCACATGCGTGGATTTCCACAGACCCCCCCTGGAGGATCCTGTGGTGCTCCTGTGCTTGTCTCCCCTGGAGTCACAGTATGTTACTGAGCAGCAGGTCTACCCCACAGAAACCTTCTCCACAGCTTTTCATGACTGTGGACAGCAGAATAGAGGCCTCAGACTTTTTTTGGCGGCGGGGGCGGGTGGGTCTGGGGATTGAACCTAAGTACTCTACCATTGAGCCACATCCCCAGGCCTTTTTATTTATTGAGATAGGACCTCACTAAGTTCCCTTGGCTGGCCTTGAACTTGTAATCCTCCTGGCATAGCCTCCCGAGGAGGGATTACAGACATAAGCCACCATACCCAGCTCCAGCCCCCAGACTTCTTGTTTCATTCTGTGGGATTAGCTTTTTACCACAAGTTGCTGCACTTATTGTTGCTGGGAATAAGGGCAGGTGAACATTTTAATGACTCCTCATTTGCCCAGTTTCTGGGCAGAGGGTTGTGCTAACTTCTGTGGGACCAGCTTAGAGGAGTGAGGCCATCTCACCACATCCAGACCTGGGTCTTCACACCAGTGCCGCGCACCCCCCCTCCCCCTCCCCCGCCAAACACACACACATTTGGCACATAGTGGGACCTCAGGAGCTATGTGAACGGCTCTGTGAAAAGCAAAAACTGGAGGTTGGGTTGTGGGTCAGCCGTAGAGCGCTTGCCTGGTGCATGTGGGGCCCTGGGTTTGATCCTCAGCATGACATAAAAATAAATAAATAAATGTATTGTGTCCAACTACATCTAAAATATATATATTTAAAAAAAAAAAAGAAAAGCAGAAACCTCAAACTGAAACAACTCCACTCCAAGTGCCCCCCCAGGGCTGAGCACACTCTAAACTGAGGAGAGAGTGGAAGGCTCCTTTCCGTCCATGGAGCGGCCTGTGGAGGTAACCAGGACCAGCTGACACTGCTGGGGCCTTGGCATATAATCTGCCACTGTCTGGACTGATAACGCTTCTCTCAGTATGGTTCTTGGCGCTGTGGATGGGGGAGAGGCAGTGTGTGTGTGTAGAAGGAAACATCCAGAAGGGTAGTTGTTGAAATGTTGTCTGTATCTTTCATTGAGTGGCAGGAATGACTGTAGTGATCTTGTTTCTGAATTCTTTTGGATGATTTACATTAATTTTATAGCAGGAAGAAATGGTTATTTTCATTTTGGAAAAACAATAGGAATAGTAGCAGATTTAACACATCTTAGGTGGAAAATGAAAAGGACCACGTGATTTTTAAGACTGTGACCCACATGCATCTCTGCTAGACCGCGCATCCTCCTTCGGGGTCATGCGTGGTGGCACATCCCAGGCAGCCCCTAGGCAAGGTTGCTCTGAAGAATGTATCCAGGTGGTCCTGGCTCGGGCCAGCACTCCAGACAGTTGTAAGCCCAGGCATGTGGATCTTCCTGTGCTGGCCAGCCCTGCCCCTGAGTGCCTGGTGCCTGGTGCCTGGGAAGCACTCAGTAAACAGCTGAGCAAAATGGGAAATAAATGCTGGGTTGTGCATCTCTATGGCATCCTCAGCAACCACACAGCTTGAAGCAACCTCTCCCCAAGGCCTGGGGCTGGCCAGTCCGGCTGCCTCAGCCTGGTAGTTGTTGGCACTTGGAAAATGCTCACGTCCGTCTGCCTGCCCCATGTACTTGATACAGCCCTGTTCTAGAGTTGACATGCATAGCTGCTACTCTTAAGATGAGCAGTAAGTGTGATGACCTTGAGGTGGGCGGGAAATACCAGGCAACGGCGGCCCTCTGAATGCACCTGGAGGCTCTGAGCCACAGCCAGAACCTTCCCAAGTTGCCTCTGTCTTTGTAGACTCACAGGAGCACCCTCTAGTTCCAGCCGTGCGTCCGTGAGCTGTGGCCACCAGGGTCTCAGGCCATCTGGCACCAGCGCTGAGGAGAATGGTCCCCTGGGTCTCCATGCTGTGTAATAGGTTAAACATCTCATGCTGTCCCTACTGCAAGGCCACAAGTCCCCAGGGCTGTTGCCCGCACAGTGTCCCTCAGTCGGCTGTGAACACAGCCTGGAGTACAGTATGGTAAAAGCAACCTTACAGAAGAATAAAACAGAATGATCCGAGTGTGTCTGCCTGCTGGCTGGCATGGAAGGAGGGCGGGTGTGGTTGGCCTGCCCTGCTTGGCTGTGCTCTCATCAGGCGAGGCCTCTGGTTGCAGGTACACCCCCGTGGGTCGCTCCTTTTTCACTGCCTCTGAGGGCTGCTCCAATCCTCTTGGTGGGGGCCGAGAAGTGTGGTTTGGCTTCCATCAGTCCGTCCGACCTTCTCTTTGGAAAATGATGCTGAATATAGATGGTAAGCAAAGCTCTGGGCCCTAACTGTGGGTGGGTTGGGGAACATGTGGAGGAGCCAAGACCTTGGGGAGGACTCTTGTGGCCAGCTCCAAACATGGCTTATGGCAAAGCACTGGTGTATCTTGACACCTGGCTTGTGTCACCTGTGTGGTATGTAGGTCAGGAGTGGTTCTCAGAGGCATCGTAGCCCTGGGAGGCTGAGGTGGCCCGAGGAGCTGCCTCTGCCATGGCCTTGGTGTTACTGAGGTCCCCAGGCGTAGGGTTGGCACTGCATGCCTGACTTCTCGCCCTCGTATCTCAGGCTCACAAGTTGCTGCAAGGTTCGAGTACAGCCGTGTCTGGCCACGCTTAGCAGGTCTTTCCCAGTCACAGCCAGAGCTTTCCCAAGTTGCCCCTGTCTTTGTAGACTCCCAAAAGAGCACCGTCTGCACACCAGCCAGGCGTGGGCGTGGCTGTGCCTTCCTGAGGATGGTTGCTCCTCAGTGTTGGGCCTCCATTTGTTCTCTGCTAACAAGAGTGAAGTTCAGAAAAAAAGAATTCTCGTGTGAGAGTCAGCTACTATGGAAAGCTCTAGAAAGGCCTCAAGATGCTATCTTGCTCAGATACACATTTATTAAAGGATGATTATATAAAGGGACTAATACTTCTAGAAGTGTCTGCTTCAGAGGTATCTAGAAAACCCCAGCTGTCATGATCGTCGGGCTTTATTTTTTAAGAACTAGTTTTATTGTCACTGACTTCTTCACCGAGGCTCAGCCAACCCCTTGATGTTGAATCCCTGGGTCTCAGGTGGGGACCCTGGGTGGCGGGCTGGCCTGCAGAAGCCTCTGGTTGCCAGGAGCCACCTGCAGGGGCACAGACAAGCCTCAGCTCTCCTTTCCTGCCCACAGTGTCGGCAACAGCGTTTTACAAGGCACAGCCAGTGATTGAGTTCGTTTGTGAAGTTCTGGATTTTAAAAGTATTGAAGAACAACAAAAACCTCTGACAGATTCCCAAAGGGTAAAGTTTACCAAAGAAATTAAAGGTAATGAGCCACCCATCCCCACCTCCAGGGTACAGGGCTGGGCAGCCCTTCCTGGCCCTCTGGCCTCTGAGTTCTTATTTCTTTGCATGTGGAGGGAGGTGGAAGTGGCAGGAGAAGGTAGCCGTCAGCTCTCCTGGTAGAGATGGTTGGAATCCATTCCACAGAGCCAGAATGGTCATTTTCTAGATAAGTGCAGCTGTCTTTGTGGGATGGGGTGGGGTGGGACAGCTGATGGGTCAGTGCTGTCTGAGTCGCAGATGGAGGACTAGAAACACCCTCAGAGTGCCAGCATGGCCTCACCTGGGCTGTCCTCTCCAGACCGCAGGATGCCTTCTGGCCCTCACATTGACGGTGCCTTCTCAGCCTGGCATCCATCCACTCTAGGAGGTGTGGGTCCAGGATTCCAGGATTTTCTTGGGGACCCCTGCCCATCAGTGGCAGTGCTGGCTGCACCTGCCATCAAAGGGCCGTCAGCATTGCTGACGTCACTTGGTGGCCCCATGGGGGGCAGAGGAGCCTGCACTCCCTGCACAGTCCACGTGCTCCCCAGGGACGGAGATGCTGTGTCTTGCAGCGTCAAGTTTCCCTGCAGGGAAGTGGACTCCACCTCTGTGGTAGCCTGTGTTCCCCTCCTCGGGGAATCCTGCAGCAGATTTGGAACCCCCGTGTCTGGGTCTATGGACACAGTTCCTGTGAAAACCGACTCTAAAGGGGAGTTCAGCCTGCATGCTCACACTGTCTGTGCTGGTCCCCCAGGTCTAAAGGTGGAGATAACGCACTGTGGGCAGATGAAGAGGAAGTACCGCGTCTGCAACGTGACCAGGCGGCCTGCCAGCCATCAAACGTAAGATGGCTACCCCTTCAAATTCTGGGGCCTTGGTCCTCCTAAGGGGGTTCATTTGTTTTGCTTTTGCATGACAGTACCCTACTTGATATGGCTGTTTAGATCCCAGAGTTCACCTGATAAAATAAACCCTGTGAAGGGTAGTGGTGGACAGGGCTCCCTGTCATCCTCCCTGCTGTCACAGGAGAAAGAAGTGGGGCTGGGAACAGTGGGCCGCTGTGGACACGGTCCTGACCCTCGGGGCCACCAGGTCCAGACTGCCCCATCTGGCTGCCTGGCGTGTGTCTTCTGCTGTCTCCTCACGTGGACCACATGCTTCAGTGTCCATGCCTGTGCTGTCCATTGCCTGACTAGGAATGCAGAGCTGTGCCCGCTAAATATGTGGTGTTTTTGCTTTTGTTTTCAGTTGTAGATGGACACAGTACCTTTATTTATTTGTTTGTTTGTTTTTATGTGGTGTTGAGGATCAAACTCAGTGCCTCACGTGTGCTGAGCAAGTACTCCACCACTGAGCTACACTCCCAGCCCTGAGTATGTGTTTGTGTGTCAGGGGGATGATGGGTTTGGACCCGGGGTCTACTGAGCCCAGTGAGGCCTTGTCTTGTCTTGTAGTCTTGTATGGAAACCCCTACCTAGCCTGTGGCACAGCCCTGGGGGTACTGACATGGAGCAGTAGGGGGAGCTCAGCCAGATCTGGGCCTAATGCCGTCTCTGTCTGGGCAGAGGCTGCAGATTGCCTGCGCATGCTAGATGGAGCAGAGGAGTCAGCACAGAAAAGCTGTGCCTTGTGGCCTTGTCCCCTGGTAGGGCTGCCCTCCCCAATGTGGGGAACATCAGCTGGCTCTCCCATCCTGGTCCCCTGCATCTCCTCCTGCCTCAGCCACACATAGGGCAGTGCACACATGAACAGTGGGGCGTGCTGGGGCCTGAACACAGGAGTGCCTCTCAGAGTCACCGTAGTCTTTTGGGAACCACACAGGCCTTGGTTTCTAGATTTGTCTTTGTTTATCATGAATTATTTTTTTCCTGTATACATATGGTTAACTTCTGACTGTTGTGTCTTTGTGTGGGGGTATTCTTTATTTTCCTCCGGTGGAGACAGAATGAGAATTGTGGGCTCTGGAATAGTTGAGGTCAACTAGGAGATAGGGCTTGGCTTCTACTCCCAGAAATCCTTGAGCATTTCTTCCCACACATCACCCCAGCAAAGCAAGCACAAGGACTCAGCCCTGGGTGAGCACATGCAGACTCCAGCAGTTGCTCCAGGGATCCCAGGATATTCTTGTCTGAGCCGCCTCTTTGCCCTCAGGTTCCCCCTACAGCAGGAGAGTGGGCAGACCGTGGAATGCACAGTGGCCCAGTACTTCAAGGACAGGCACAAGCTGGTTCTGCGCTACCCCCACCTCCCGTGTTTACAAGTCGGACAGGAGCAGAAACACACCTACCTTCCCTTGGAGGCAAGTGGCTTGGAGGAGAGAGTGCACTGGGCCAGGCCTGGCCATCTCAAGAACAACACGGTCCTAGCTTGGTCATCGTCTGGCGTATGGTACCCTGGGCGAGTTATTGGATGTTGCCGAACCTTGGTTTCCCTTTACGGGAACTGGACCAGCAGCTCTAGTGGGATTGGTGTGTGGGTGAATGAGTTCTAGGGCCTGTGCCCAGAAGGAAGGAAGTCAGTGCTGAATGCCCGCGCCAGGTGTTCAGTTTCCATCCAGAGTAAGGCCGCTTGGAAACTGCTTTCCTTGGGGAAAGATCCACACTGCACAACAAGCCACGTTAACTCATCCTTGCACGTCAGTCTTCAGATTGCACAGGGCCTTGGCTTCTTTGCTGCCCCAGACCTTTCCTTGTGCAGCTGGTTTCACGTTCACACACTTCACGTTGGTACTGCTGAGGATTTGAGATGGCCTGGGGACTCTCGAGGGGCCCCACGTGCCTTGCAGGCTGGAGTGGGTGCCGTCGTGTGCCTGTGGTGCCCGTGGTGCCGTGCTGGGTTTCCTCAGCATGGGTGCTGTGGTGAGCCAGAAGGCCTGCAGCACCTCTCTTCCAGTGTGGGTGCTTGTCCTCCACTGCTGAGACCCCCTTTGCTTCCTGGCTGCACACAGCATAGGTGCTGACTCCTTTCCACATCTCTTCTGTAGGTCTGTAACATAGTAGCAGGACAGAGATGTATAAAAAAATTAACCGACAATCAGACCTCAACTATGATCAGAGCGACTGCCCGGTCAGCGCCCGATAGGCAAGAAGAGATCAGCAAATTGGTGAGCATGTGTCCTGAGGTTGGACCTGGGGTGGGCACCAAGGCTAGGAGACCTCCTGTGCGTTAGACAGTTGTGGCCACTGGAACGAACAGAGGCCTGTCTGACTCCAGGCTTTCTCTCCTTTCCCTTTTCAAGATGCGAAGTGCAAGTTTCAACACAGACCCATATGTCCGTGAGTTTGGAATCATGGTGAAAGACGAGATGACTGATGTGACGGGGCGGGTCCTACAGCCACCCTCCATCCTCTACGGAGGCCGGGTAGGTGCACAGGGGCCAGGGACATGTCTGCTGGTGCTGTGGAGCAGCAGTCTCTGAGCCTTGTTGGCTGTCCATGAGGAGAAAAGACCTCACGAGGACCTGACTTCCCTGGGGCCTTGGGGAAGGTTTCAGAATAGTCCGTGATGCCTTCAGAATCCCGTGTCATTCCTCCCGTCATCAGTGCTCTCTGGTTCTGAACTCTTCTCTAGAGGCTTATCCTGTTTCCTGTTCTTTAGCTTTTGCTTCATGGGTATTTGGTGGCAAGCATGGCACCTTAGGTGTTTGTTTTGTGTGTGTGTGTGCGTGCGTGCGTGCGTGCGTGTGTGTCTTTTTTCCTTTTTTCCTGTTACTAGGGAGTGAACCCAGGGCCTTTTATATGCCAGGCATTACACTACCACTGAGCCACACCTGCAGCCCTTTTCTTTTTAATTTTATTTTGAGACAGGCTCACTAAGTTGCCCAAGCTGGCCTCTAACTTGTGGACCTCTTCTTTCAGCCCCTCAAGTCGCTAGACTTACAGGCCTGGCCACCATGCACTTAGTTTTTGCAAGTTTAACCTGGATTTTTTGTTGTTGTGTGTGTGTCTGTAGTCAGTGTGTGTGCCAAGATATCTTGACCACTGAGCATGGTAGGGCTCATAAGAAGAGTCTCTTCATTTCCTCTGGGGTGCACAACACGGAGCACTCTCTAGACAGGGCCCTCTGGACAGGGACCGGGTGATGGCCCTGGGGGCAATGCCTAGGCCTTTGGGCCTGAGCATCCAGAGTTACCTACTCCACAGCGATGGATCTTGTGGGAGGAGTCTACCTGTCTTTGTTCCCTTTTTACGTACTAAAACTTCAAGCTGTAGTCTTTGAGATCTGTACCAGGACTTTGTTTTTGCTGCTGGTGCAGGCTAGGATGTGAATCCAGAGTTGCCCTCCAGGAAAACCATGATGTCATCTTTCTCATTTGTAAAACCACCCAGGGGTTATTATATATTTTTTCATGCCTTCTTGTTCCTATCAAGTACACTCTGTGCCCTGCCTCTTGTCACTGTCCTGTTTACTCTCACAGCTCACAGAGGGCTCACAGGTCATCTGTGTTATGAGACGAGATTCTGATTCTTGGTGACGGTTGTGTGGTATTCCACTGCTGAACACGGTCCACAGGATGCTCCCTGTCCTGAAAGGACTTCTGAGCAGGCCTCCTGCTGAGAGCCTGGACATTGTATAAACAGCACCTGTCTCCCTCCAGGTGGCTCCAGGGTGGTCCCAGGGCCGGCCAGGTGGTGGAATGAAGACTTCAAGCCCAGACCTTAGACTTGTTTGCCTCTCTGGCATCCTCATTGATAGCAGAGGAGGTGACATCAGGGGCACATTTCATATAGCAGGAAGCCTTGCTGTGTCCTCACAAGACACTTGTGTCCCACCAGGCTATTTAGGAAGGTGGATGGAGATTTGGGCTCTTCCTGATCTCCTGGCTTAGCTTCCGTACACCCCACACCCATCCATTCTTCCTACAACTCTCCATGCATACCCCACCCGGCCTCCGTCTCCCCTCCACCTGCCACATATCCACCTGTTAGTCATCCAGCTCCTCCCCAAACACCCACCATCGGTGGTCCAATCATTCTGCAGATAGGTGCAGGTTGCCTGTGACACTGCGGGCGAGAGACAGGAGACAATAGACAGGTTAAGTTTTTGCCCTCAAGTCATTCTTGATCAGGGGAATGTGTTCGCCATTGTTTCTCACTCTACACTTCTTGATGCTTGCAGAACAAAGCAATTGCCACCCCTGTCCAGGGTGTCTGGGACATGAGGAACAAGCAGTTCCACACAGGCATCGAGATCAAGGTGTGGGCCATTGCCTGCTTCGCCCCCCAGCGCCAGTGCACGGAAGTCCATCTTAAGTAAGCTTGAAAACCAGACATGCCTGGCAGTGGTTCTGGGGTGGGGGGTGGTAATCAAATGACTTCTTGGAAGATCGACTCTGATCGGGCGGCAGGGTGTCTACTAGGATCCCGATGTCAGGGCTTGTCAGCCTTTCCCTATCAGAACACATGGTGGGGCAGCCGGATCAGGAGCTTCGGCCCTCTTGGTGTGCATCTTACCCACAGGACCACTGTGAACATGGGCACGAGCAGGTAGTACAGATTACAGACAATACCTGCCGAGTGAGTTTAAAATGTAGACAGAGCAGGCACAGTGATGTACCTATCTATAATCCCTGTAACCCGGGAGACTAAGGCAGGAGCACTGCAAGTTTGAGGCCAGCCTTGGCAACTTAGCAAGACCTTGTCTCAAAGAAATATTAAAATGGGCTGGCGATTGGCTCAAGACCGAGCCTGGTGTAGTGGCAATACCTGTAGCCCAGCTGCTCAGGAGACTGAGCCTCGAAATCAGCCTGGGCAACCTGGCAAGTGTCTGTCTCACAAAACAAAATAAGTAAATTAATAAATTAGAAACAAAAGAGGAAGTTGGATCCATGAACTAAATTTTTTAAAAATACTTTAACTTGATACATCTATAAACTGAGAAAATAAGACGGGGCTGATGGTAAAATAAGGAGGTGGCAAGGCTGGGAGTGTCTTCGTCCTCCCTGCTCAAGAGGGGAGAGAGGAGCAAGAGCGTTAGGTCGTTTGCTGTGTGCTGTGCAGGACCACCCAGCAGAGGGGCACTAGGAGGGACCAGTCCTGACCTGGTGTCAGGAAACACAGTTTTGTGGTTCGTGCTGTTGTGCTTCTCCTCGTCTGGGGGGGTAGAAGGGGGAAATCCCAAAGCCCATGAGTATAGCTGACAACTTGACCAGACCAGCCAGGGGCCTTCTGAAAGCTCAAGGCAACCACCCAGGGCCAGAGTCCATCACCTCCCGGAGGCTCCACTGCTGGAAGGATGGGCTGGAATCACAGAGGACTCTGGGGACAGTGAGAGCCTGGGTGCCACCTGTCCATGGTCCTCCATCCCTTCCTCTGGCTTTCACCTGGAGCTCCGTGGTGCTAAGGCATGGTCACATGTAGATAAGAGTGCAGAGGGAGGACGTGTGGGGAACTGGACACTGACATGCTATGCTGGAGCACACTGTCCTCCGCCTGATGGTAGAAGATGACGCAGGGTTCATCCCTAAGCTCCACAAAGAAGTAGTAGATCCCTGTCCCACCCAGCTGAGCTTCCAGGCCCGTTGGCTGTGGCTTGTTCTCTTTCCTGTTATGGTTGTCTCAAGTCCAGCCCGTGTCCCCAGGAATAATGGGTGAATGTAGGATGACGGCGCACGGGTCGTCTTCTGTACTCTGTGTGCCTTCATTCTGGTGGGGAAACCAAGCTCTTACCTGACACAGGGACTGCCCTGGCCTACAGCGGAGCAGCAGCAGCTTGGCACCGTCCTGTGGAAGGACACCTCTGCACCCTGGGAGTGTCGGCCCGAGAGGCGACATGAGTACAAGTTGGAGTCCCTGCTTGGTCTCGGCCCTGCCTCCGTCGTCCCTTTCTGGTAGCCTCTGGATGGTTTCGTGTCAGCTCTTTCAGGGGCTGATGTTCCAGCACACACTGCTTTGAATTCTGGCCCTGTGTGAGACTTAATTTAAAAACTTAACTCTGACCTCTGTAAATGTACTTTTGGCTTCATGAACCTTGTGCTCTTTATTCAGGACCTCTGGTTGGTATGAATTCTTTTCCACTAGCTGTGTGTTTTAATGAAATGGACCTTCTTCCACAGGTCCTTCACAGAGCAACTTCGAAAGATCTCAAGAGATGCTGGAATGCCCATCCAGGGCCAGCCGTGCTTCTGCAAATATGCCCAGGGGGCGGACAGTGTGGAGCCCATGTTCCGGCACCTGAAGAATACATACGCTGGCCTGCAGCTGGTGGTGGTCATCCTGCCTGGCAAGACCCCAGTCTATGGTGGGTATCTGGTGACTGTTGGATTCAGGGGCCATGGTGGCCTTTGTAAGAGTAGGTTGTAACCTGAGCACCCTTGTGTTTTGCCACACTGGGGAGCATTGGCCTCTAGTTTATTCGTGACTCTGAGGAAGAAGGTTGGTCCTGGCCACTGCACTCCGGCAGCCAGGGCCAGCCTCATTACTCCATCTGAGGCCACAGGACTAGGGAGCCAGCACCTCCAGACAGTCGATAACTGGGCCGGAAGGTAGTTGTGTACACCATGCCACTTGAGTGCTGGCAGAGAAGTGGGGTTCCCTGGCTCTGCAGTGTCTCCCAGGAAGCCTCCAACAGCTCCTGTGTCCGCCATAGCCTAGCTTTAATCACCTCTAAACCACGTCAGAGTCCTTTATGCCAAAGAACAGTTGCACATTCTTCTAGCCATGGTATCCTGAGCCTTGTTTGTGGTGCCCCAGCCGCTGGAGAATACAAAGAAGTCAGATACAGCCCTGCATCCAGAAGCCAGGGCATGCAGACAGAAGCAGGAGAGCATGCGGACAGCCTGGGAGAGCCTCTGGCAGCAGGGCGGAACCCAGAAGGGCCCAGGGAAGCACTGGGGCTTGGTGGGTGTCCCTAGCAAGGCTCCCTGTCTACTCGGAGTCCAATTACAGACAAGTGAAAGCCACGCTTCTCCCCTCCAAGCTCAACTTCCAGAAAAGCAGTAACAAGAAAGCTGTGGTGCTGCCCTGAGCGTCCTCTTTCCTCAGAGCTGCCACAGGGGCACCTGATGGGGAAGCGTCCAGGGTGGAGGCCTGTGGGCCTGGAGAGCTCTGATGTCAGCTCTGCGTTTGCCAAGGGTTCCCAGGTGTGAGTGTGTTTATATCTAAGCACTCAAGCCTGTGCTATAAGAAGATGTCGTCCTGCTGAGCAGTGCCTCATCTTCCTGCCCTTGGCCCTGGGTAACTCATTTAAGTGCTCTTGGTTCACAGACTGGAAGGATGAGATATGCCCATGCAGCTTCACATTCCCAATGAGGGTGAGCCTGGCACAGGTGCACAGCAGTGCTGAAGAGCACTTGGCCAGAACCTCGGCCCCTCCACCTGCCAGAGATCCTGTCACATAGGTGACCGCAGTCACTCATGACCAAAAATGTCCAGAGGAGTGCTGTGGTTGGACACTGCACCAGCGCAGTTCAGGTCGGGGCTGAAGGGCTGGAGAGCTAGAGACAGCTGCTGCCCTCAGGCCAACAGAGGAAGGGGCACTGGTGGAATCTGTGATGTGTGCCCCTTTGTGTCTCACAGCTGAGGTCAAGCGCGTGGGCGACACAGTACTTGGGATGGCCACACAGTGTGTGCAGATGAAAAACGTGCAGAGAACCACACCACAGACCCTGTCCAACCTCTGCCTGAAGATCAATGTCAAGCTGGGGGGCGTCAACAACATCCTGCTGCCCCAGGGCAGGTGAGCCAGCCCTTCTGCCTGTGTGCTGGGTGCGTGGATGGTTTTCAGTGGGACAGGGCATGGTGTGCAGAGGTGCCTGGGTGAGAGCTGTCCTGGACAGTGCTGAGGACATGGGGCCCGACTACACACAGTCTCTCTAGGACCAGGGGTATATGCAGGGGGCAAGTGCAGGGCCAGAGTGGGCACCCCTCCCTGTGCTAGGATCTGTGCAGGTGAGTGAGGCTCAGCAGGGGCACACTTGGAATGGCTGGAGAGGGGTGCCCTGTTCACCTGCAGGATCCTGGAGCAGCGGGATGTTCTAGAGTCTGCACGGGAGTTCCTACCAGAGGCTCCCTACCAGGGAAGGACGGCACTTGATGCTGTGATTGGAGCACTTCTGTCTGAAAAGTGCCACACAGGAATCACTGTTGCTGGATCCCAGGCCAGCCCAGGAAGTGTGGCTGAGAACGAGCTGCCTGCATGTCCCTGAGCTGGGGGCGGGTGTGATGCAGCTATGCCTTTCTCGAGTGCCCCCTGGGGCTGGCTTGTTGCCCTGGGTACTAAATTGCAGAACCAAGTTTACCATGTGCCCCTCCTCAGAAACCAGGGCCTCCAGCACAGACGAAAGGGGTAGTTATGATGACAGATGTTGAGATCTTATCATTAAAGTCCCAGGGCCTTGTCTTAGTATAGGAATGACAGAAAAATGGTGAAGACAGTGAAATACTTCAGTGAACCTGACTGTCCTAGTGTCAAAGAGATGATGGTGAAAAGTGGAGGCAGACATTGATAAGCACTGCCCAGGTGTAACCTCCAGCCTGCCCTGGGGTTAGGTTAGTGTCTCCTTCCATTTTGTGTTGTTAGAAGGAAATACCCGAGGCTGCAAAGTTTAGAAGGAAAAGAGGTTTATTTAGAGGTACAGTAGAGGTCCAAGAGTGAGGTGCCAACCCTGGCTTCTGCCGAGGTTTCCTGGTGGATGGTTTCATGTTGGGAATGCTCACATGCATAGAGAGGGTCACACGGCGGAAGAAGTTTGCACAAGTCTCTCATGGTAACTAACTCATCCCAGCAAGATGGGCATTAGTCCCTTCCCAGGGTGACGCCCCAGTGACCTAACCATCTTCTACTAGGCCACACCTCTCAGTAGCCTCGCACTGGGGACCACATCTCCAAAACATGACTCTGGGGCCACACCAGAGCACCAACATGCGACACTCTGTGGGTCTGGTTCGCCAGTGTCTGGCTCGGCAGGTCATGTTTCTGGCCCAAGAATCCACTCTGCCCTGCACTGCTGATGTGGTGGCCAGGGACACACACTCTAAGCACTGCCGAGTTATGCTCGCAGCTGGGGAGAGGAGGTTGGTGCGGAGGAACCTGGCCTCTGCCTGAATTTGCTCCCAGCTCTGAGCGAGAGCCATTCCACCCCCACGAGTTCCTGGGAACGAATGAGGACACGTCAAGGGGCAGTTGGCAACCCCAAAGGTAGTTCCGTTAGCCAGCAGGCTCTGAGGTTGTTGTGTGCAAGGAGTTTAGGCCATAAACAGAGAGCCCCGGGACCTCGTCTGTACCCCTTTAATGGAGGGGTGATGGCTATGAGGACCTCACACCTGGTGTGCCAGTGAGCCGCATCACAGTGGCAGGGGATGAGCTCAGATGAGCATCTGGCAGAGGACGTGGCCTCCAGGGCCCTGACACGGGAGCTGAGGGAGCGATGGTAGTTGTTTCGCTGAAAGGCTACAAAAGTGGTGTGCCCGCGAGGTAAGCTGCAGCTACGGGGGCACACCTGACCTGTGTTCTGGAAGGCTGCCTGTGGCTCTGCATAGAGGGGCCACTGGCCTCTGCCAGGCTGGAGGCAGACGTGGAGAGGGAACACCCTGACTCTGGGTGGCTTTGAAGAGAGAACCCTGGAACTGGCAGGCAGGTATGTGTTTACGGAAGAAGCAAGGATGGCTTCAGAGCCCTCGGCCTTGTTCCCGAGAGGTCAAGCGCATGCTCACAGCTGAGGGCCCAGGCTTGCTGCTCAGGCCTCTGCAGAGCCCCTGGGTCATGTGATGTGGCCTGTGGGAAGCAGGCGTCTGATACCCAGAGGCCATGAGATCCCGGAATCCTGGATGGTGTTCAAAGCCAGGAGGCTGGAGGAGACCCCTTGAGGGAGCTTCTGAGTGCTGGGAGGGCCAGTGTCGCAGCCCTGGGGGCAGCAGTGGAGACAGCAGTGAGGCCAGGGAGGAAAGGTGGCCCGGTCTCTGGATGCCTGGGAAAGTGTGTCCTGGGTCGCAAGGCCGCAGTGAGCCGTGCTTGATGAGGCCTGAGTGCATTTCTGGATACAGGAAGGTCTGTTGGGCCAGCTGAGGTGACAGTCCCTGGAGACCTTGCCAAGGAACCTGACTGCCAGGCAGTGGGAAGGTGGTCATCAGGCGTCTGGGAGGCAGTCAAAGGTTAGTAGATTCAGGGAGCTGGCTGCAAGGAGGCGAGGTTGCTGGGACAGGTGTGGTTTTGCTTGTTCCGTGTGATTTGCATGTGTGAATGAGGGTGTCACAGGCTGGCCCTGCACTCCGAGCTCCCTGACAGTGAGTGGTCAAGGCCCGTGGTGTGGCTTCCCGCGGCTCCTGCCTTCTGGTGTGACAGAGCATAGTGAGGCCACATGGGGTGCTGGCTGGTTCTAGAGCCTGGTCAGTGGGACTGATGCCATTTGGGGGCCTCCCCAGAGTTCACAGTGTGGGGTGTGCTTTCTCCATGCCGTCTGCCTCCGTACCTGGCAGCGGTAGTGATGTGGCACTGTGGGAAGCAGGTGCCTGTGAATTGCCTGGCCTTAATGGGGCAGCAGACAGCGGCCTGAGGTCTGCCAGGAACCCCCACCCAGCCAGCCAGTGCCCCAGGTGCAGCTGGAACTACAGTGGGGATTGGAGGGACCCTAGCCACCTGCTGAGGCAGCTGGCATGGGGCATATGTGTATGAAGCTCCTTCTGCATCCTGAGGAAGTGCAGGGGTGGGCATGCACAGCCATGCTGGGCTTAATGGCTGTCCCTGTGGCTGAGCAAGGGACACCCAAAGTGAGATGGAAGCAGGTCCCAATGGCCAGCATCCCTAGCGGGATCCCTTCTGCCAGCCTGCTGAGGAGTATGGTCAGAGACTGCAGACCTGCCCAGGAGCAAATGGGAGGTCCTAAGCCAGCGCTGGGTGGGGAGCACATCCTTGCTTGTGTCTGTGTGCCAAGGAACCCACCTTCCACACCCCCTGGTGGCTGGGACAGATTCTCCTGGCTGCCACTCCCTGCCTAGGAGTGTCTGTTCTTCAGTTCTCTCTGTGGCAATACCCACTCATCCTTCTGGCACCAAAGGGGAGTCCTGAGACTAAGCAGTTGATGCAGTTTGGAAGAGGGCAGATTAAGACCCACCGCAGGTGGAACGGAACCCTTTCTTACACCCAACCCAGTCTCTAGCTGTAGGGCAGGATGCAGCCGAAGGTGTGACACAGGTCTCTACACTCTCATGATATTTTCTCCATCAGCATGGAAATGGTAATGGGGCCAGCTGCTAGTGCCACCGTGTGAGGAGCCCTCTGAAAGTACTGGACACGCATGAGCTTCTGTGGTCATGTAGCATCCCTGAAAGCGGACAGCACAACCCTCCCTAGAGCAACCCCTCCTGTGCACATTGCTTCCCAGGAGGAGTGAGTGGAGGCTAAGAGTGCTGCTGGGCCTCCTCCGGTGCTCAGAGCAGCCTCTCCCACAATAGAGTCGTGGGTGGAGAGACTCCCTGCAGCAGCACCAAGCCTGAGTAACAACCCATGGGATCTTCTCCCTCTCCCTTCCCCTCCCCTCTGGTGCTAGGGATGGAACCCACAGCCTCCCACATGCTAGGCAAGCACTCTACCACTGGGCTACGTCCCTAGCCCAAGCCATGGGAAATTTTTTGGAAATTTTAAAGTAAACACAAAGAAGAGAAGGAACAATGAACCCTCATGTGTCTGACCTGACCTCAACAGCCATCAGTGCCTGGCCAGTCTTGTCTGGGGTACATTCCACCCATGCTCCACTTTCTCAGGGTCCTTCTGAGGCATATTTCAGCCCTCATGTTACGTATGTGTGAGGTTTCTTTGTGACCTTTAAAGTAAAGGTTCTGCTCAAAAGCATGACCGCTCTGCCGACTGCACAGGTCGCAGGGTGGTAACTGACCCCGTCAGAGATCCAGGCCTCCAATGCCACTTACTTCTGCAGGCCTCCAGTGTTCCAGCAGCCTGTGATCTTTCTGGGAGCAGATGTCACTCACCCACCTGCGGGGGACGGGAAGAAGCCTTCGATTGCCGCAGTGAGTGTCAGTGCTCTCCTCTGAGCCTCTGTTGGTGGCGTGGTGCTTAGGACTCTGCAGAGACCACCAAGACACATGTGGTCTCTGCAGCCATATGGCTGAAGGGCATGGAGGTTTGCCCAGCTGCTCGGTAACCTCAGGGCCTCATGGCGAATAGGCGATTGAAGGGGACACTGACGGTGGCATGAAACAGTCACACGCACCAGCGCTGTCCATAGACGCACGTGGACTGGCTGCCCACCTGGCGTTCCACCCTCTTCAGCTGGGCCTCCGTCCTGCTGCCTAGCAGCGCTGATTGTTCTCAGGAGGGTCTAGGGTTACTGTTACGGTGGCCTTTATTTTAAAAGAGAACCAAACCATGCCTTCCTCATAGTGAGGGTTTAAGCTTTGGAGTGCAGAGAGCAAAGGGGGTTGCCTGAGAGCCATCTTTTCTGAGGGCCTTGGCCTCGTAGCAGTGGGGGAAATCAGAAAGCATCAGGTGTCTCTTTTTGGTCATTGTCTGGAGCCACTGGGTTTCACCCCCCAGTGTCACCTTGGGTTCTTGAGAGCCCTGCCATGTGCCCTGGCTTTCTTGGCCAAATTGCCTCAGAGAAGTGCTGGGCTGCTGGCAGGAGTGAGAGCTGAGGCCCCTGAAGGTGGGTTCCTTTTGGGCAGGGCACAGCTGCAGAGGGTGCCCTGGATGGATCACAGAAGCACAGGCTGAGCTCGGCCCTGGACTACTGCAGACTCTGCCTGCTCGCGTCTGTTTCTTTTGAGCAGTTAAGCTTAACGTTCCTGAACTTTCTCTTGGGTAAAGTGAGGAAACCACTGTGGATCTCTAAAGATTATTGTGAGACAGTGTAGTTAAGCCCCAGCACGGAGCCTGGCCCATGGAGCTAAGAAAATGCGGCATCATCTGATAAGTCTGGAGGGACTGTGGTCTAGGACCCTGTCTCAGGGATGTGGGGAGCCAGGTAAGCCGTGGGTGGAAGGGAGCTGCCATGGTACTTGGGTACATGTGTGTGTAGCACACATAAATCGTGTCACTCCCCTTATGAAATCAGTGTCATGTAAGCAAGGTAGTTCCTGCTGCCTGGCCCAGTAACTGCGACCCAGCACTTCCCGTGCGAGCAGCATTTCTCGCTTTGCTGGATGCCTTTGGCTCCTTCCTCCTTTGGTCAGAGAGCAGCAGCTCAGCACCTCTGCTCGGCGTGGCTGGCTGTGCTCAGGTTTACAGAGGAGGAAGCTGGGCCCAGAGAGGAGGCCCCCGGGGCTTCCCCGGCCGAGCTCTGCACCCACTGCGGGCCTGCAGGCTCCAGCGCTGGGTCTTGCCGTCTCCCTGCCTCACCTGTCCCTGTTAGTGTTTGTTCTTCTGGACAGATGTGGTGTAGTGTTGAATATTATCTCTGGGTTTAGAGGGTTATGTTTTCAAGTTTTCAGGAACAGAAATCTGTGTTCACCCCAACCCCCAAATTCTCAATAAATAGAAACAGATTTCTGTTTATGTTAATTTATTTGTTTATACCAACTTAACATTTCAGGGTCTGTCTATTTTCACTTGTTTGAGAGGAAAATCTTGGCCAAGGCAGGACCTAGGCAAGGCGTCGGGGGCTGGCCCGGGGACTGCTGTCCTGCGTGGGTTTCCTGAGAAGCTGGCTTCCTGGAGCCTGCTTTCCACGGGCACAGGCTTTCCCTCGGTCTTTCCAGTTTAAGGAACCTGCCTCCCAGCTCAGAGGTGAGCAGGTCCTGGTAGTGCCCGTCCATTTTCCTACAGGGCTGAGTTCCCGTTGTCCCTGACACTCCCTATACCCCGACCAGACAACCTGAGTCGCCACGGGCTCATTCTGCTCTCTCGCCTGCTCACCCTGTCTCCCTCTGGTTGGCATTCATACTTGGGCTCATACAGCTTCTGGCCTTTGGGAGTTCCCCTTTCCTGAGAACCAAAATCTGGGTTGCTGTGTGTTGATAATGCAGTGGGCTCTTTGGAAAAGCAGGTGCCAAACCTTCAGAGAAAGCAAGGACACCACTTCCACTTTGCTGTATTGGGACATCCAGGTGGAGACCCTTCTGCCCACCTGCAGGCCAGCGCCACCACCTACCTAGAAGAGGGAGCCTGGAAACCTTGCCAAATGCTCACTGCATGTTTCCACAGGTCGTGGGCAGCATGGATGCGCACCCCAACCGCTACTGCGCCACTGTGCGTGTGCAGCAGCACCGGCAAGAGATCATTCAGGACCTGGCGGCCATGGTGCGTGAGCTGCTCATCCAGTTCTACAAGTCCACACGCTTCAAACCCACCCGCATCATCTTCTACCGCGATGGTGTCTCCGAAGGCCAGTTCCAGCAGGTTGGCTATCCTCCCTTTGAGCTTCTCTATCTTTGTCTGGTGTCTTAAGATTCCCCAGTACACTAATGCAGACTGACTCAGTGGCTTTCTACCCAAGGTTGATGCGGTCAGAGTGTGGAAGGCAGAGTGGTGGAGACTGCAGGGCACGGGATTGTCCAGGCCCTGGCCCTAGTCGGGCTCATGGTGCAGAGTCGGGGCAGAGGAAGTGGAGAAGGAGTGGGTATGAGCTTGGGCCCTGGAGACATGGGAGTGAGGGTCTCACCTGGCCAGCGGTGGGTTCAGCAGCATAGCTCACTGCCCACGCTTTCCAGAAGTGTGGACTTTGCCTTGGAGGATATGAAGAGCTGTCAGGGGAACAAGGTCTTTGCACGACAGAGACCTTATATCTGGTGACCCTTCTGTCTGTAGTGTGAGAGACAGGCTGGAGTAGGTACCACAGCAGCAGGATAAGAACTGCATGTGGCAGAAGGGGCTCTGCAACATCATGACCCCGGCACCGTGGGTGCACAGAGATGGGTGGGCCCAGTGGGTAAGAGAGGGTCTGGAAGGGGAAGAAAGCCCTCACATGCAGGGGTGAGCGAGGGCATGGAAGTGGCCTTATTCTCCTGATTCTGCCTCCAACAGTGCTGAGTCAAGGTGCCCTGCCTGTGGCAATAGAACTCTGTCCTGGCCCTGAGATTCTCCCCATCAGCTTGGGCTGGTTGCACTTCTGTTTCTCCACTCCGAAAGCAAGTGTGTTGTTAAGCAGTGGTGGCAGTGGGGGCCACTCACTGGTGGGGAATTGTCCTTGTGCACTTCAGAGGCTCCAGGTGCAACAGATTCTGCTTCTTGACCAAGTGGCCTTTCTGAGCTGCTGCAGAGCCTGGCTGGTGGCTCCCTCTGTGCCCTCACAGCTCAGGGTCCTGTTGTGTTGACAGACCTCCTGGGCTCCCCCAGCAGGGACTCTTCTCCCTCCCTTGAGCTCCTGGCCCTTTTCCCCCATGTCACAGTGCCATGCCCATGTAGAGAGGGGATCTGCCTTCCTAGGCTCTGAGCACTCTGTCTTACAGAATCCCACAACTGAGTTTTCTGCACCCAGAACTTATGTTCTTGAGACATTGTAATAGAGTATTTTGATTGAGATTATTGCTTAAAATCTATAGTGTAGCCAGGCACAGAGGCACATACCTGTCATCCCAGCTACAAGGCTGAGGCAGGTGGATGGCTTGAATCCAGGAGTTCAAGATCAGCCTGAACAGAACAGCAAGACCCTAAAAAATAACAGAAATTCAAAGTGCCCTGGTTCGTAGGCTGTGCCCATCATTTTCCGTCTTCCCATCGGGACTCAGATAGGGCATGCAAGTTTTACAGGTAGGATTGGGGGTCAGAATGTGTGGCTTTCCACATGGCTAATTGGTGGCAGAGCTCAGATTCAAACTCCGGTCTGACTCCTAAGCCATTGCCTTTTCCATTAGATAGGTATTTAAAAAGCAGCAGCTTAATGAATGACCGACTTTCTCAGTGCTGTAAGTCCTCTGCAGTGCCTCAGCCCTGAGGGGTGTGAGTGCCGTCTACTGAGCACTGAGAGTGTTCTAAGTGCTGTGGTCATCATTTTCATGCATTTTCTAACTTAAAAACCAGTTAGCCATGAAACCTGGGTGTCCCTAGCTCTATTGTATAAATGAAAGCAGGAAGTCACAAGGGAAGTTGCATGCCCAGGCACACGCTAGCAGAGCTGGAAGGCTTGACTCTAGGCGTTTAAGTGGCACATATTTTTAAGATGTTTACTTCGAGTAGCACGAGGCCTAGAACGACCCTGAAACCTGCCTGTCTCTCTCTCCCTTCCAGGTCCTTCACCACGAGCTGCTGGCCATCCGTGAGGCCTGTATTAAGCTGGAAAAGGACTACCAGCCGGGGATTACGTTCATCGTGGTGCAGAAGAGGCACCACACACGGCTCTTCTGCACTGACAAGAACGAGCGGGTGAGCCCCCCTGGCATGTCCTGGTGATGCCCTGGGGATATGCGTGGGTCATTTCAGGGTCCTGAGCCACCTCACAGAGCTCCTACCAGCCACTCAGAGCTGCTGCCCCAGGCCCGGGGAGACTGTGCTCTGAGGAGCTTCTTGGGAACCGCCTCAAGTGTCCTGGATGGCTCTCTTTGCCTTGGGAGCAGTTTTATCTTGAATCTCGCAGATCTGGGATAGGTCCGGTTTTAAAATGTCATTTATCTCATAAATTACCAAAAGAGATGATTCTGAGAACCCGTTGGACACACAGCCGTGGACTGGGAAAGCGTGGAGTGTGATAGGATGGAGTCAGCCACGGGCCCATGTGGGACTGTTGGGAAGTGCTGCTAGGTGGTCCTGAGGAGCTCTCACATGGGTTGGGAATAGCTGAGAGCATCTTCCACACTCCTAATAGGACACATGGTCCTGCCTCTGCCCATGAAAGAGACAGTGCCTAGGAGGGCAGGACCCAGGCTGAGAACCACAGCCTTCACACTGGTGACAGCAGGCAAGAGCAGGGTGGTTTAGATGCACTGGGTGCTGAAGAGGACTAACTGCAGCTCAGTCCTGGTGGCCCTACTGCCACACCAGTGCAAGAAGCAATGTTGTGATGTAAATGGAGGAACCAAAAGGTAAATGTTACAGTGAGGAAAGGGGATATTTTGTCTCATAAAAGGACTAATTCACTATCAAGATTGAGCATCTGTGATCTTAAATGTACCCAGTACTCTGCCCTAAAATTATATAAGAATGGGAAAAAAAAAAAAAGTGAAGCAAAACCGGACAGAATTTCATCAGAAGTTGAAATGGGAAAAAATGAGAGCTGAAAACTGCAAGAGTGAAAAAAGGATGATCCAGGCACCGTAACTGGACAGGACCTGCCACAGCACCTGGGGCCACACAGAAGGGCTACAAAGCTGGCTTTCCACCAGGACAGAGGAGCCGCTCACATTTCCATACCTCAAGTTTTGTATAATAAGCCTTATGTTTTGATCATTATACAGTTAAATTCCAAATCAGTAGGAATGAAGTTTAAGAACACTTGAAACTTTCAATTTACTGCTAAGTAGCTCATGCATTAAACATATAATGAAGATAGAAATTGCAGAGCACTCAGAAATGAACAAAAACCAGAAGATTTCATTTCAAACCTGTGCGGTATAGCTAAAACAGTGCAGCCTGGAGACTTAGATGCATTGGGTATAAAACAAGAACCATGACAGAAAGTGAGAATAAAGACAGAATGGAAAGAAGAGACCCCAGGACCCAGGAGTCGAGGGAGAGCTGCAGAGCTCGGGGGCTGGGCTCCTTCCTCTCCTCAGTCCCCAGGTCCCCGTTGCCAGGAAGCAAGAAGGCTCCGTAGGCAACTATTCCTGGAAACACCTACACCCTCTCCCCCTTCCCAGAATGGAAAATAAGTACAAAGTAAAGAAGCAAGACAGGAGATTAAAATCAAAACCTGCCTCTTTGAAAATAGACCGAGTAAGACTCCACAAGGAACAGAAGAGGACATATCTAAGCATAGGAGCGTGACCCTTTATGTGATCACTATATGATCATTCTAAGGTATTGGCCCAGAGAGCTTCACAAGCAAGTTTCTCCAAACCTTCAGTAACAGATCATCTTAAGTATGACAGAACACACAAAGTTACTTGGTGTATTTATGAGTGTAGTGAGAGTTTTGCAGGTAAGATTTATCAAACCTTCAAGGAAAACTCTTTTACCATGTCAGAGATCAGGAATGGGGGGGGGGGGGGAACACTAGTTTATATTCTGAGGCTGGCTTGCTAATCCCAAGTGTGGGGATGCAGGCATTGTGCTGGGGTTAAGGGTCCAGGGTCTTGAGTGAGGTGGCCTGGGCTCAGTTCTTGCCCTTGCACATACATACCTAACCCTTTGTATTTCAAGACAGAGTCTAAGTTACTAAGGCTGCACTGCTCTCTTGCAAGTGGTGGCCAGGAGCCAGCCACTCGTGGGAGCCCTGGCCAGCTTTTAGGGTTTTGCTTCCCTGCCTTGAGTGCTACGTGGACGTGCTGGGCACCAGCCTGCACAGAGGGTCCTCGCCCAGCTTGGATGTTGATAGCATGTTGCTTCAGTATGTTGCTGGTAGTACCCCTGGGCCCCCCCAGATCAGAGTGGCACCAACAGTGCCAAACCCTCTTAGAGTAGATGGTTCAGTGAAGACTGAACTTGAGCTGTGCAGCTTATAGGATGCGAGGGTGACGAAACAGAGCGAGTCTAGTTATTAATACTGGCTGGAGTTTCACACTCTCCTCTGAACACACGCATTAAGCAGTTTGAAAATTTGTCACGGGGCTGGGGCTCAGTTGGTTAAGTGCTTGCCTTGCATGCATAAGGCCCTAGGTTCGATTCCCCAGCACCACAAAAAATAAATAATAAAGATTTGCTTTGGCCAGAAAGCCTGTGTGGACTATCTTCCGTACTCCCTGTGTCCTGTCTGATGAGGCTCTTGTGTTGCTGCAGGTTGGGAAGAGTGGGAACATTCCTGCAGGCACAACTGTGGACACGAAGATCACCCACCCAACGGAGTTTGACTTCTACCTATGTAGTCATGCCGGCATCCAGGTGAGGACGGAGGGCCCCGTGCACACAGTTTGGGATATTTGCAATGTCATCACACAATCAGCCAACTCCTGTGCTCTAATCAGCCCTGGGACCTGGTGGAGTGGCATGGACAAGGGTCTGCCCACCTCCCGTCCCTGGCTCACACTCTGGCTGTGAGAGATGGGTAGTTAACCTGGGACCCAGGAGACTGTGGCCATGTCAGACACTTGGAAGGAAAGAACCACAGAGGTGCTAGGGTAGACCATGTGGAGTGGCCACCAGGGCTTCCCCAGTTGAGTTCCATTTTGAAGGAAGTGAGGTCCAGGCAGAAGGAGCTGTGAGTGCCAGGGCACTTGAGGGGGTAGAGGCTATATTGTGGGTGGCGCTTAGCAAGCTAGAAAATGAGACCTGAATGTTCACGCGGCCACCAGGAAGCTGCTGCCGTAGGGCACATGAAGAGGCAGCTCTGGCTGGTCGACCTTGCAGCCCCTCCGCGGGGGCTGGCTGGTTGGGCAGGCTCCAGGTGAGTGCTGGCACCAGGAGATGCAGTTGCCATCTCCTGTGACCCTGTCAGGCTCCTTCGGGGAAAAGACCCATATCTGGCCAAGGGTGGACACATGCATGTGGCCACCAAAGTGCCATTTCCATTGAGAAGCTGACCTGCCTCAGTCCACACTGTCTTTACCACTCGGGTGGAGGACTGCACCTGGGGTGTGGCCACCTGCAGCCCATTTGCTAGACCTAAGAACTGAGGCTGTTTTTACAGATTTGAAACTTGTTTATGAGGAAAGGAAAAAGAAGAACAAAATAAAGGTAGAGAATGTGAAGGCCTCTATGCAAGTTCCTGATGCAGATGGCCTGTCCCGTTGGTCCTGTCCCCCACCACAGCTTTCTCTGTGAAGGCACACTGTTTCCGAGATGTCTCCTCTATCTGCTGTGTGCCCCCCCACACACCCCCACCCCCCTGCTTCCCTCCTGACAGGGGAACCCTCACTTTCAGGCCTCTGGCTTCTCTTCTGCCCAGAGACTTTCTAGGGGGGAGCCTTGTGGGGGGCTCGGGGAGCCGGCACCCTGCTGTCGCCGTGTCTGGACACACCCACCTGGGCCAGTCATCGCTTTTTGTCTTTAACATCATTGCAATGTTCTTTGGGAAGATTTCACAGTGCATTTGGCTTATTTTATCCTGTAATCTGCTTTCAGGGGACAAGCAGGCCGTCCCACTACCATGTCCTCTGGGATGACAATCGTTTCTCTTCTGACGAGCTGCAGATTCTCACCTACCAGCTGTGTCACACCTACGTGCGCTGCACACGCTCTGTGTCCATCCCAGCGCCAGCCTACTATGCCCACCTGGTGGCCTTCCGGGCCAGGTACCACCTGGTAGACAAAGAACACGATAGGTGAGTCTTGTGCCCGTTGGGGCAGGGACTGCCTCTGATAGACAGGTATCCTAGCAGCCACCTAGGCCCCATTGAACACACAGGTCCCTCAACATGGCAGCCTTGCAGCCACTCATCAGCTGTGTGCCCGCGCACACTGCTCCCCTCCCCAGGTGTCTGTCCAGTAAAGGCTGTTCTCTCTCCCTCCTGTGTCCCTGCAGTGCTGAGGGGAGCCATACCTCGGGGCAGAGCAACGGGCGAGACCACCAGGCCCTGGCCAAGGCGGTCCAGGTCCATCAGGACACGCTGCGCACCATGTACTTTGCTTGACGTGTCTAGTGTCCAGCGATTGTGCACCAAGTTGGATTCACACGAGACCAGCCTCACTCAGACCAACAGACGCCCAGCCCTCCGTGACAGCCAGCATCCAACATGAGACGTCATTGATTTTATCAGATCTCCATTTTCCAGAATGCCTTCCGTCCCAGATTTCAAACTTGGATTTTGAACTGCAGACCTGTATGAGACCCCACTGTCGTAGGAAATATGGTTTGCCAAAATCTATGAGCTGCTTATTAAAATAGAACCCCGTGTTTCCTAAAAATCCTAAAACCAGTCTATGAACTCAGGGCTTTAAAACATTTTTTAATTTATTTGGTCATTCAATTTACTTGTTTTTAACACATAATTCTCTATGAAATTGATGGGCTCAAACTAGCTGTGAATGTTCTGAGAGTGAAAGCAACACAAAACATTGTGGTTTTAAAGCCTTGAACATTCTGATGTTGTCACTGAAGTTGATTTCCAAGAGGCGTGGTGTGCTTGTGGCCTGGCTGCACAAGCTCAGCCCTAAGGGCAGGTGGCCGTGCGCGGCATCCACAGGTGTGTCTTGCTCTGCCATTGCCTACCTCCCATAGTGTGAGCCGAGGTACAGTGGCAGAAGGAGGGCCACGTGTGTTTACAGCAGTGACATGTCCAGAGAGATTGGCAGATAAGTGCCATTTTAATAACAATTTATTTAAAAAGAGAAGAAAGACAATATACCGACAGTCTAATCATAAGATTTGTCCTATAGGACTGTGACGTTTATTTTCCAAAGTTTCTAAAGAATACGGGTCTGTGGTGAGAAATACAGTACAATCCTTTTTCACTGTTATGTCTTTAATGTAAGAGAAGAATATATATATCTGGTTTGCAGTATTAATGTGATAGGTAGATGCTGTTTTCCTTTTGTTGACTACGGGGTGCTTCTTGTGACCTGTTTTGCATATCAGGAGTGTTGGAGCCTGGAGACAGGCCACCTCTTGTGGCTCTTAGTGCTTAAGTACAGGAATATGCAACTGACTTTGTGTGACAGCCATCTGCCCCCAGTGTGGACTGTGTGGCTTGTACCTCCGGGAGGGACGGCGTGTCCACCAGTCACTCGCCACCCTCCCTCTGCCTCCTCCCCATGTGTTGCTCAGCCGATGAAGCACAAATGGAGTTTATTTATTCTTCCATCGCTGGGAAACAAGTTCATGTATCAGAGTGCACTTCTCCCTGCGTGCAGTCTTGTTAGGCGAGTTTCATAGGATCTATGCACTGAGACAGACAGAAAGCTGCTGCCGGTAGCTCTCTCCTGGCTGCAGTCAGGGCAGTGGAACCTGCCCTGGGAGGATCGCCCATGGAGATGCCAGCAGAGGACACAGAACGCTCTGTTGGGATTTGCATCCAGGGCCCCAGATGTGGGTTTGCCAATCTAGAAACCATTGCACTAAGAGTGACGCCACAGACAGCTTAAAGGTAACAGCAGATGTGGCTATTTGTGCTGAATGGGCCTGTTGTCCTCGTGTGCAATCTGAGAATCATGCCCATGCTCCATGTAGACCTTAAGGAAGGGGACAAGCCTCCCCTGTGCTGCTTTGTGCTCTGCAGGTTTCCCCTCTCCCTGCCGATGTCCCTTCCCCATCCCTATGTGACGTTACCTCTGGCACTGCGGTGGAGTGAGGGTCCCAAAGGTGGTGCCTCATGCTGAGGTAGGCACCCACCTGTTCCTGTCCTTCACTCCAGAGGTGGTAGGAGTGTTGGTGAGCCCCTGGCAGAGCATCCTGACCCTGGGCCTGGGCTGGCGGCAGTGACAGGTGGCTGTGGTCGGTGAAGATGAGTACTCAGTGGGGGGGTGTCTATGTGTGCATGTGGGTCTCTTACTAATGACATTAGTCTTTTCTTGCTGTATCTTTTTTTAATCTTTTTAAGTGACAGCAGCCTCCGCTCTAAGAAGCACTACAGCTGCCTGTTGTCTTATTGGCAAGTGGCACTTTTCCTGCTTCCAGAAGGACACAGATACACTGAGCTGAGCTCACCAGGCATACTGAAGCTGAAGAGGGAATGTTTTGGCTAGTAAATTTTTAGAATCTGAAATTTAGTTTCAGCCACTCTTAGAGCCATTTGGAACCTTGTTTCCCAAAGGTGTTTCTCTACCCTCTGCAACAGGATCTGGGTGTCAGAGAAGGGCAGGTCTGGTTCAAATGCAGATTCTGAGCTGTCTACAAACAAACAACCTGAATCAGGTTCTGGGGAGTGGCTGGGCATCTGCATTTTTTAAGGTATCACTTGCCAGCTCTGGAGTAGCTGGGGAGGGGGAGGCCTTCTGAGGACGTCCTCCCAGGGCACCTGCAGGGAAGGCCTGCTCAGCAAAGCCAGGAGGTGTGAGAAAGTACAGGCTGGCAGGAAATCGGACCTGGTTTTGTTTTGTTTTGCTGTATTTTAGTTTAGTCTTGTTTTGATCACTTTGAAGGATAAGTTTTCTTTGAAGAAGGGTACTTTTTATAACCCTCTGCTTGTTTTGTAAAACTTTTAAAACTAAAAGCATTAACAGACCAAATGTCCCCATTTGTCAGCTGCATATCTTGTACGTGTCAGATGATTCAGAATTTAAATGGCTGTAGTCACAATTTCTCAGGTAAATAATTGTTTAATAACCCCATTATCAGCATAAGTTTTGAGGCAGTGCAGTAAGTAGCGTGAGTCCAACCCCGTTCACGTGGAAGCCAGGAGTGGTGCCCCTCCGCCTCTGCCCACACTCGTGCCCAAGGAAGCTGGCTCCCCAGGTGGCTCCTTCCCCCTGGGGCTCCTATGCTTATGTTCAAATTTGAGGGCTGACCGCTCAGTCGCTGGCTTTGTCCCCACCCCACTGTTAAGTAAGGTGTGCCTTGCTTTAAGCAAACTGAATGTGAAGATGACAATGTAGAAATCTGGATTCATCTAAAAGGAAAACTGGGATTTATCTCTTTAGAAGAGGCCTGCCAATTAATAATGATTCTTCCTGGGACTCTTCCTAGTATACTTTAAAATGCTCACTTTTTTAAAACCATTAGTGGACTCCCATTTACCACCCTCTCTCATGCTCAGTAGCTCCTCCCTGTGATACTAAGTGATGCAAGGCCCAGGAGACCATTTAAAGGAGAGCCCCCTGTGACATTAGCAAAGATACCACCATCCTGTCACTTGGTTGTTGTGAGCTCAGATTCCTCGCTCAGAAAAATTTTGTATGACTGGGTGTGTCTGTGCTTTTAGAAAGGGGTTGCTTGCTCTTGGCCTGGTTTTCCTATGGAGAAGTCTGTGTACACACTTTCTGGCATCCATTCTGGGGTCTGCTTGGTCTTCTCCATATCACCAGGTGGCCCTGGCCAGAGGCTCCAGGCCTCCTCCTGCCTGCCCCCACCCCCCTCCCCAGGGCAGGCATGGCTGCCCGCAGGGAGCAAGCTGGTGCCCTGGGCCCTGCTTGCCCCATTACTGAGTGCTCATTAGAAAAAACATTTAGGTTCAGTTCCTGCAGCGGGATTCGGGATTGGGGGAGTTTTATTGTTGTTGTATGTTGTTTTTATTGTTGTTAAATGCAAATATTGCTATTTATTTTTTATTTTTTTTCCTTTCTGCTCTGGTTTGATTTGGCTGATGTGGGTATTCCAGTGCATGGTACCTGATATGGTAGAAATGATTTTCCCCAACTTTTATAAATGACCTAATGTTTACCTTCAAGGTTGCTGGATGATTTTATTTTTGAAAGCCACAAATGTAGTTTTTCTGGATGAATTGTTTTTTTAATATACGCAGCAGTGTGCTTTCACATTGATCTGCCGGGTGGTTTAAATTTTATTTTTACAAGGCAGTTTTTCAGTCAAATTATATATTTGATACAATGTGTCAAGGGCACACCAGCCATGTGCCATGCAGTGGGACACCAGAGGGTCAGGGGCCTCTGGGGGTTGGTGGCCGCTCCTGGCTGCCCAGGGTCGTGGTAGCACTCAGCTTGTTGCAGGGGCCCCGGGAACTGGGTGGGCCTTTCAGTACGGCTCTGGTCTGGCAGGCAGGTCCAAGGGACTTCACGGGCATTCTCCTGCACCTATGGCAGCTCCATTAGGAGGTGCTTTAGACGTTGACCTAATTAGACAGTGGACAATCCCAGTGGCCCCGACAAGCCATAAGAAGCTCCCCTGTGACCTCTCTTTGACTCATCTCTGTGCTCATGAGAAAAGGAATGTATAATAAGTAGAAACAGATCCTCGTCAGTGTTCACAGGCCTCCCCTGCAGAATGCACATGTTTTATTTATACTTCAAGCCCTCCCTTCTCCAGCTGCCATGCCAGCAGTCTCATTGCTGTGACGTGTTTCCATGTGGACACAGTGCACATGTGACTCTGTCACGGGGGGTGTCCCTGTTACATGCATGTTGACGCTTTTGTAAGGAAAATTTTTCAGCTCAAGTAATTGCACTGATTTTTTGACAACTTCTTTTTATTGTGTCCAACTTTGCATCTGCTGTACTTGTTTGAAATGATTGTAAATAGACTCGTAGTAGCAGAAATGATGTGAAGACAGGATGGACGCTGCTTGGCTTCAGTGACGCCGCTTCATGTCTCAGTGTTGTGTGTTAGGGTGGTGCAGACTGGCCTCTGCCCTGCTTCCTGCTCGTTAGCCTCGTGTCTTGACCATTCATGAAGGACAGACAAGCCTCCTTTTCTCGTGTCTCTGACAGGAAGTTTCCGTCTGCTTTCCTGATGGCTGCAGAGTCCTTAAGAGGACTGACTGTAAACCTTTGGGACACTTCTTGGTCTGTTCAGTTTTTTTGTTTTTTGTCATGGCTCCCCAAAGTACTTCTTTGTTGTTCCATCCAGCCTTTGACAGTTTGGGCAGAAGCATCTGCATGGCCCATATTAGCAGACCACAGGGGCCTCTCTTGTATCTCTTTGGCCAGCTGTCTGTTTAAAGCCACAAGGTCACTGTCATGTCAGACTGTCATTTGTGGCTGTATTTATTAATGCCAGAGAGACACCCGAAGCCCAGTGCTTGCTCATACATTGTGTTCTGCTGGATGCAAGGGACATGTTCCAGCCGCCATGTATAACTGTGTCTGTGGTCAGGCTTCCCAGTATCAGATACAGAAAGGAGCTTTCAAACCCAAACGGGTCGTGTGTGCGTGCGTGCGTGCGTGCGTGTGTGTGCGTGTGTGTGTGTGTCACATCAGTGCCATCATGTTGCCCCCACTTTGCTTCTGTGGATGTGTCCTGCCATTTTATTGTCTCAAGTGAATGTATTGGCTTAGCCAAGTCACTAACAGAAGGTGGTTTCTAAATACCTTTTAGTTAAAACAGATACAGATAAAAAGCTACCTCTGAAATCTCAGTAGATTCTTATTTACTCTTAAGTGTAGCTATCCACACTGAAAATAGCCAAAATGTTGCCTGAGTAAACTGAATTTGGAACATCTCTCTGTTCAGTTCTGGCTTGAAAACGTGTGTGCCATACTGTGACCAGGGCAGCCCCCCATCCTCTGCTGTGGCAGTGGACCAGGGACTTCTCAGCGCTGTCCAGCTGTGAGGGTTTAGTGCTCTGGGAGGCCAGGTGTAAAGGGAATGAAGGGCTTCCCTGTGCAGTTGGAGTGCCTTCTGCCAGGCCGTGAGGAGCACCTGCAGGGCACGCTTGATGGAGCCGGGGGTGCTCTGTCCTGCCTCCTGTGCTTTCCTGTTGAAGGGAAGCAGCGCTTGTTTTTTCTGCTTGCTTATAAATGGGTAAACAATGGCTTCCCCCCTGCTCTCCTCTCCAGTCTCACTCTCTAAAGTCACCAAGGTGCTTTAACACTGGCTCTCTTTTAAGAGACACTTTTGAGAT